ATTTTTCAAGTATATGTTGAATACTTTTTGTTTTATTATAATTCAAATGAGATTTATTTATTGCAAGTATAAGAAAGATTTTTACATATTAAATATATATACTTTCAATTGTTATCGTCAGCAGTAAAAATCTTTATATAAGTATATATTACTTCTTCATCGATCGCATTTTATTCCCAGCTGATGCTATTTTGATCAACAACGACACAAGTATTGGCCTATATACATAAATTTTTTTCTTTCCGTTCTTTCTATCGGATTTCTATGACGTTAAATAAAGATTTTTTCTTTGCATGTTCTACTAGATGTATGATGTTATAGTTAATTTACTTTTTTCCGTCTGCATAGTTGACTTATTATATTTTTCTTTTCTATGTATGTCAAAAGATTAAATTGTGTGTAGTCATTTCATATTCTATAGACAAAACCAAACGATATTTCAAACGACAAACATTTACGAATAAATGGCAACAGCACAACCATCGATTCAAAATAGTTTAGCTGATACTGTAGGTCAGTTTAATGGTGGTTATTATAAAGTAGATCATCGTGATACAAATGCACTTCTTTCGGTAACATTACAACCTAATACTCCATTTTATGCACAACCTGGAGCAATGGTTGCTATGGGTCCAGAAATAACACTTAAGGGAAAATTGAAATTTTCATTTAAAAAAATGTTTACTGGGGGAGATATGACTCAATCAACATTTACCGGTCCTGGAGAAGTATTACTTGCCCCACCTATTTGGTAAGATTTTTATTAATTCATATTGAATGTCAGAAGTTTATATTTATACAAAATGAATATGATAGGCAAAACTAATAATGTTAAACTAATTGTTTTATATTATAGGGGTGATATTGTTCCTATTCAATTAGATGGTCAAACTCAATGGAATATAGGTAGAGGCGGTTATTTAGCTATGACTCATGGTGTTGTTAAAGATACAAAATCTCAAGGATTGGGCAAAGCATTATTTTCTGGTGAAGGTCTATTTGTTCATCGTGTATCAGGTACTGGAATTGTTTTTGTTACATCACTTGGTGCAATTATACAACGTCAATTAAAGCAAGGTGAACAATGGATTGTTGATAATGGACATTTAGTTGCATGGACTTGTTCATATTCTATTGAAAGAGCTGGTGGTGGAATAATGAGTGGAATGCATTCAGGTGAAGGACTTGTTTGTCGATTTACTGGTCCTGGAATAGTTTATATACAAGTAAATACGAAAAATAAAACTTATTTTTATTTAAGATAAATAAAAATATTGTTTTCCTTTTAGACAAGAAATCCAGAAGCCTTATCAGATTGGATACAAAGTCAAGTATCAACATCAAATAATTAATTGAAATATTTATTTTAAAATCTGACTGTAATTCGATATTTTTATCTTTCTTGTTTTAAATTGGAACATTTGCTATATATATATATACTCAATATAATAAATACTTAATTATGTCTCTAATAACAATTAAAATATTAGTGAGTTATTTATTACAGCGCACTGATCGCTAACTACATATTTATGTAAGTTATGTATTGAGTTATCATTTTAAATAAAACTACATTACATACACAGTGAAAAACAAAAATAATAGCGTTTTACAATAAACGACAAAATTAATTCCTAACGATCATGGATAGAATTAATAATTCATAAAAAGTTGATTTTAGTAATCGACCTATACAAATACTAATATATCATATAACTATGTTGATTTATGAAACACCTTGTTTGTTATGAGTTAATATTAGATATTGTTAATTGAACTCCTTAATAATATACACGTTTCGTAAATGTAGATTTCTTTTAAACGCATAACAATCTTGATAAATATTATATGCCAATGTTAAATATTTCTAGGTTTTGCAGAAAAGCCAGATAATTTCATAAACATTCTCAGTATAATCGTTTTAGTGATATTTGAATACTGCTATTATTAATAAGAATGAGATCCATACTTTATTGTTTACATATAAATATATCTAAAAGGAGACCCATCTAAATACAATATACGGATCTTGTTAGATTTTATCCTTTAAAAAGATGCGTGAATGTGAATTTCTTATCTTTAAAATAACATGAAATGATTATTTTGTTGAGGTTATAGACTAAAAGATTAATAAGATTATATTGTGATAAATTTTTAATAATATTGAAATACAAAATAGATCAAGTATTGAGTCAGATATCTACGAAATCCTATCGATTGATTGTTATATGCGAATAAAATTCAAGATGTTAGTAAAGATCTAATTTGGTAATATAATCTCAAATTATTGATTACTAATATCTAAAAACAAATAAAGAACATCACCATTGTTAAGTTGTTTTAGAATGAGTAATAATATTTCATCAAGAAGATCAACTTTCTTGAGAAAGGTTTATCATTTACAGATCGTTTAGAAGAAATTAATGAAGTTTCATGTCATCTTTTTTCGATTACTTACACAAAACTCGACAAATTAAACAATTACGAAAGAACTATTATCGAAAAGAAGCTATTAAGTGGTTATGATGTCAAAGATGAAAAACATTTTTACAACAATGTTCAACATCCAATAATCAATATATATTCCATTATTATGGTCATCCAACACGTGATAAATATCCTAAAGTAGAACGACAAAATAAATATGCTTTAAACGGATGTTTTGTATTAGATATAGGCCCTGAATATAATATTACAGATAATATATTATATGCTGCAGTAATTAAATCAATGCAACAGTCGAAGTACTATAATATACCTGGTAATTGGGAACATTATACTTTATTTGGTGATGGTTATATTAAGAGAACTAAATTCATAGATGATAATGTATTTTGTAGAATAAATCAATAAAATTTTCTATATCTTTCGTATTACCTTATTTATTCATAATTTATTATTTAGAAATTAAACCGCATAGTTAATATCAAGCATTATATAGTAATCAATACAGATAATATAAAAAGTAAGGGAAATGACTGTTATTTTAAAAGAAATTTGATCTATAGAGATGTATACGATGTCTATTTGTGATGACGAACCAGGGACAACAGTTAACGATCGACTGCTAATAGCGAATGATGATTGGGAAAGATGATCAATAAGAATACAATTACGACCAGAAGAGATAAGCAATGATGATGAAGTTGTTGGTGAAAGCAAAAAAGAACGAGCTAATGGTACTTTGTTTCGTATATACTAAATCTTTTTACATGACTAGATAATTTTCTATGTTTTTCTATCTTATTTACTTTTCATTATAGAAATATATTAGGTAATAAAGAAATAAATAAGATTTTTCAAGGTGAGCAACATGAAATTAATTATATATGACATATCTGTCGAAATTCAACTTGTAGATATCCATCAACAAATTGATTTACTTTAGCGTATAGTATTCTTAGCAGAAGAATTTTATTTATAGATCAAGTTAGTCTTGTTCAATGTTATTGATAATAAAAGACTACCTTATCTTATCAAACAAAATATATTTGAGAAGAATCAATTCAACCATAGAATAATGATATTTATCTTATACATAGACGTAGGCGACAGACTAACTTAATAGCAATATCAGAACCTTTTCCTAGACGAATGTAAGCACATTATATATATATATCATACTTGCTTTGTAAAAATAAATGAACCCTAGCAAATGATATACAAATGTCAATCCATGTACCTCTAAACAACTTACTCAAAAGTAACATATGCTATATTTTATAATTTATTGTTTGTGTTTGTTTTTTCTTTCATCTTTAATACAAAAAATACATAAAATATCATAATATTCTAAATACAATGTAATTGATTTTCTTCTTTTCTTAATGTCAAAAATATTATATATATAATCTAATATCTAATCATGACGAGTAAATGTATGCCTATTTTCTGTCAACTACTTTTGTCTCTGATCATATTAATGATAGTAACTACTGTTTTTGTTTAATAAATAATCACAAGAAAATTTACTGATCGAATATTCGCTTGGCTAATGTATTTTTGTATTTCACATTCGACACATTTCAATATATGGTTGCTAGACTCATCATCATCTTTGTTGTTATAATATGATGGATAGATCTACCAGAAGTTTCATTTCGAATCATCATATTTTATGACATATTGATTAATTGAGGAAATTTTTAGTTTAGACATTATTAGTACGTATTATATTCTAATAAATCATTCTGTTAAATATAATTCATACGGAGAGATTTGAAACTATAATGAAAAACAAACAAAAAAAGTTTTTGTTAAGAAAAATTATTATGAAATAATAAGACATCATGTAAAATAGTTTTCCCTTCGATATATATCACAACAAAATATTGACCTTTCTGGTTTTTCTTTTTATGTTGCTTACTTCGATAGACATTATATATGCAAGTATTTTTCTTTTTTTTTCTCCTCCTTTACTCTTCTCTATATGAGAAACAATCGAGCATGAATAAACAGCAACAGTCGAATAGAATATATAAAAGAAAAAAAAGAACTAAGAACGAGAAAGAAAAAGATTGGTTGGTACTATTACTAGCTGTAGATATGGACAAAAGATTAACTTATATTGAGAACTGATGCGTATATTACAGTGGTTGTAGTAATAAACAATATTTTTTCTTTCTTTCTTTCAGATGATCAACAAGAGTCTTCGAAGTGCTGATAGAAAGAAAGAACGACAGATAGAAAAGAAAGAAAAATGAATCGTATCGGTCGTATTGATATTCTGATAAAAACGTATACATACCCTCGTACGTACGACTAGCGAATGGTGCTGCTACCACCAACGAACATCTATCATCGACAATCTGGGTTCGCCACAATCGAAAACATCGTTACCTATTCATTCTTTAACATATCCTCATCAAAATCCGACTACAGCTATTGGTCTTTCAAATTCACCATATGATGTTACTCTATCGAATACCAATCGCCCTATACAATCATCACTTGAATCTTCAATCGATAATCATATAATTAATTTTGAACAACAATTCGATATGAATTACGTTCCATTAAATCGAGGACGAGAACAATCTCCTTCATCTCCAGCGGCTTTTCATAATTCTAGTACATTGTATATCAATCAACAAAGTCCTGTTCTAAATTTACCTCGACCTAGATTTAATGTTACAGTCAATGGTCATCTTCATTCTCCTCATCCTCCTCCTCACCATCAACATCATCATCAACATCAACAACATCAACATCATCAATATCCACATAGAACGCATGATTTTTCTCGAATTACTATTCGAGCGCCAGATATTCGTCCTCCACGTACTCCAATGCCATTTAATAGTGTTATGTCAACAACACGTACCGGTGGAAATATTGCGCCTGCTATGAATGATGTACAGCGAAAATTAGCTGCACTTACATTACGTTTAGAAAAAGAACTTGAAAGTGAAGCAACTGTTGATGAATATTATGGACAATGTACAAAATGTGGAGAATATGTTACAAGTGCAGCTGAAGCTTGTCAAGCTATGGATGAACTTTATCATAATGATTGTTTTAAATGTATTGTATGTTCTCGAACATTACGAGGTAAAGCATTTTATCGTGTACATGATCAAGTTTATTGCGAAGAAGATTATTTAGTAAGAATTTTCAATATTTAATAGTAATAAAATTTTAATTTATTTCAATTATTTTAGTTTACTGGTTTTCAACAAACAGTAGAAAAATGTCATATTTGTGACCATCTTATAATGGACAAAGTATTTTTCTACATTGTTTTTTTGGGAAAATAAATATTTTATTTGTTTATAATAGATGCTTCAAGCACTTGGTAATACATATCATCCTGGATGTTTTCGTTGTTCAGTATGTAATGAATGTCTTGATGGTCTTCCATTTACAATTGATAAAGAACGACGTTTATTCTGTTTATATGATTATCATAAGTATGATAATTAGTTTTTTTAAATAAATATTCTTGTGTCTTGGATAATTTTATTTTTTCAGTACCTATGCACCACGATGTGCTAAATGTGCATTTCCAATTTGTCCAGAAGAAGTAAATCATTTTTTGATTAGATTTTAAGAAAATAATATTTATTTTTATATTTTTATTAGGGTTCGGACGAAGCAACTCGTATAATTGCTATGAATAAAAATTTTCATGTTGATTGTTATCGATGTGAAGTAATGAATGAATTAAAATTTATCTTTATTTCAATACTTATTCTTATTAATAGGATTGTAAATGTAGTTTAAGTAATGAGCAAACAACAGCTGTACTGGGTGGATGCTGCCCATTAGAGGATGGTACATTATTATGTTATCGTTGTCGAATGCGTCGTGGTGGTATGAGTGATAAATAGATTAATGATGCATATACAATACTTAGAATTTTTTTTCAATGAGAAAAACATATAACAATACTTTATTGTATAAATAATAGTTTCATGAACAAAGTAAAGAATAAATTTTTCTTTTGTTTTTATTATATTACAAAAAAAAATTATTATTATTATTATTAAATTTCAACATAAATTATTGTCTAAATTTTCAATGATAGTAATTGTTTATCTCAAGTAATAAGTATGATTATGTGTGAAATAAACGTGAAATCTTGATTATTTCGTTTCGACTTAAAATATTGATAGATTTTATTGATTAAAAATAACTAATGACCAAAAAAACAAAGAAAAACAAAAAAGATTTAAAGCGAAAGCTACTTTCAAATATACTGTATTTCATATCATTCAGTCGATTATTCATTGATGACTTATTTTTTTCATTCTCTTAATAATTCATATCACAAATAGAACATATGAAAAATAGAAAGAAAAAAAAATGAAATTTTGAGTGGAGACATATGAAAGAAAAACAACGATTTGATCAACTATAAATGATTGTTTTGCAAGTGTAATGCAGTGAAAACAAAAAAGGATTGAAGAAAGAAAAAAAGAAAACTTATCCATTGTTGTTCGCACAATTTAACTGACTATTATTTTGAGTGAGAATGTGGTTGTTCAATATTAAATGGTGATAATAATTCATAAAAATCTTTATGTTCCATTAATAATTTAATAAAATCTTTCGACGTTAATTTAATAAGATCAGGATCTTTACCTTCATTAAATTGATCAAGTGATATTCTTAATTGTTCAATAACACGTGCTGTATTCTCTGGATCATCTTTTGCATGAAGTCTCATTACAATCTAATTTATATATATATAGAAAAATAAAATCAAAAGAAATAATTAATTTACTTTAACCATTCGATCAATTTCTTTTTTATTAATTATACCATCTTTATCATGATCATATGTTCGAAAAACATATTTAAGTTTCTCGCGTGGACTACCAGTAGAAGTTAAAGCAAAACCAATTAAAAATTCACGTTGATCTAAATGAAAAAAAAAGTTTTTTTTTATTAGAATTTTATGAAATATTTTAATTCTTACCAACAATTCCATCATTATTGGCATCAAATGCACTATGAATATCTGCTGCTAATTTTTCAATTTGTTCTTCTTTACCACTATTTATACTACGTAAGAAACTAACAGTATCTGATTTGGAAATTTTACCATTTGGACAAGCAGCCTTATATGAAATAAAATTTTTTTCTATCAAATTAAAATTTGATGAAATTAATCCAACTTACTTTTAATTTCTCATACCAAACTTTAACACTTTCTTGATCAATTTTAGCTCTACTTGCAATAAAATCAATATCCTCTTCGCTTAATTCAGCTGATGGTTGAGATACACTTGAACCCATTCAAAAGGTAAAAATATTTATCGATAAAAAAAAATAAATAAATATAACAAATTAATCTAGAAGTATAGAGAATATTGATTCTTTATTACGTCATAATAAAAAAAATATCTGTGTCAAAGCAAAGCAATTAAATTGTAAAACAAAAATAAAATAAAATCTTGATTAAAAGTTTATCACAGAGATATCATATTACTCTTCTCTCCAAGTTCCTGTTTTTGGATTATAGAATAGATGAATTTCTTTTATTGAATTAGCTAATGGAAATTTCACTGTATATTTTGGTTCATTATAATGTCCTTGCCAATTCAACTCAATATAAACATCCATTTTATCATTTGGATTAGTTATTTTCATTCTATGTACAATTGGTTCCTCGCTATGAATAGCTTTCGAATCATATTGTGTTTTAGTTTCTTCTTTTACTAAGATTCTTATTTCTGAAAAAAGCGAATAAACAATATCTTGATTAAGATCAAGACCCACTATTGTTATAGTTTGATCTTCAATTGTAATTCGTATTCGTCGATGAAGTTCCCATTCTGGTATAGGAATATCTAATTTAGCCATTAATCCACGCATAAGATCATCGCAAAGTGCATGAATATTTGATTTAGCCAAACGTGACATAGGTGTTGCTTGTAAATTTCCAATAACTAATTTTTCACCACGATCACCTACTCGTTGTGGAATATCAGCTGCTGGAGTTACACGTAATGATGAACCTAATACAAGACAAACATCAGCACGCTCTGCATGTTCAAAACTTGTTTCTAAATCATATTCAGGTAAATTTTCACCAAAATTAATAATTGAATCATAAAGTTTTGAACCACATTTTGTACATTTTCTATCTGTTTGATGATCATGAACTTTCTTCGATGTACGTGTACGAAAATCACGTAAATATTTTGTTTTACATTTCTTACATGTTTCTAAATTTGAATTTCCATGTAATTCAGCTAATAATATTGATGGTAAACCAGAACGTAAATGAAGACCATCTGTATTTTGTGAAATAACAAAATGAAGAAGATTACGACGAGCTAATTCAACAAGTGCCATATGTGTTACTGATGGAATCGCTTTTGTTGATGTCGTTGTACGAGCTGTTGGAGATCGTTTTGCACCAGGATGATCTCGAAGTTCCCATACACCAGGTCCCGTTGGTAATATTGTATTCATACTTGATCGAAAATCAGGAATACTATGAAAAACAAATTCATATTCAATAATATTTGTAAAACAAATATATATATATATAACTTACCCAGTTGATGTTGATATACCAGCACCTACATCATAAATAGATTATATTAGAATTTGTTATCGATCAAACCTAACTTTCGTAGGATATATTGATAGTATTATAAACTGCTGCGAAAGAAATATGATCCTTTAATTATTTACATCTGTAGGTTTCTTCTCAATTAAAGAATATAACGTTTCTCTTATGTATAAAATATTTATTTACCTAACATTGAATTACTTCAGTCTTTTCTTTTCTTTGAACGATAGTCTATCCTTTGATTTAATTTCTATTAAAAGAGCAATGAGATAAATCAAGACATTTATCTTAAGTAATACTATTCTGATTTTATATAAAAAATTAGCTAACCTGTAAATACAATAACATGTTTTGCATTTCGTATCCAATCAGCTAATTGAGTCAGTTTTTTATCGAGTATATCTGGTGAATCGACATGTTCTTTTTTCGTTGGATCAACGTCTGAAATTCCGTGTGCCATTTTTCATTTAATAAAAATCTAAAATCGTCTTTATATATATATATACATTCAAACATGAATAATCATTGACACAATATATCAAAAGCAATGATTCAAATGTTTCGTGGACAAACACAAAAAAAAAACACATGAATTTCACAATGACATAGAAACGAAAGAAAAGAAAACATTTTTTTATTTATGTTAAAAAAATTGACGCAGAAACAAATGAGAGAAAACGAATGTATATAAGTAATCTGTTATTTGTATTTACGCAAAAAAACAGATCGTATAGAAAATAGTAGTCATATATAATAAAGATAACAATGAAGAAAAAGAAAAACAGCAACGTCTACAAATAGAAATGAAGAGAGAAAAAAAGAAGAAGAAATCACATCAATGCAGTTAGCCACGCTATAAGTCAAAACAGAGGAGATTTTGAGAATATTGCTAATAGATAAAGAAAAATTTCTGTACACGTCTGATTTGTTTGTTTTTGTTTTTTTTTGGTAAAACAGGAGCTTCTTTTTATCGTTGGTTTAGAATAAATAAGGACAGTAAAGATATATGGTATGAATATTCAAGTAGGAAATAAATGAAACTTTTTTTTTCATGTTTTGTTAAAATAAATTAAATGCAGAAAAACAAACAAATATGAATTAAGTTTAATTTAATTATCCATATTTGTATAGGATGAATGTGTAGCTTCCATTTTAATGTTAGCGGTTGATAAATTACTGTTGTTATTTGTTGGTATAGAAGATGAAGGTGTTGCAACAGCATTTGTTAATTGATGACTTATTGAATTAAATAAATCATCAAGTAATTGTAATGCACGATGAATTTGAATTTCAATCCAACATGGAGTTTCTTTTATAGATTGTCTAGTATTAATAAATAAATATATATTGATAATAAATAATAATAAGAATTTAATTTTACCTTGGATAATCTGGTCCCCAACCTTTAACAAAACTAAGTCGTAATACACATAAACGTCGTAATTCGTCAATACTTAAATTCGCAGATGATGACATTGCTTGACCATGAGATGCTTGTTGCACTCGAGAATGTAATGCCATTTTAATATGTTGATCCATTGCAGTATAACATTGATTTAAATCAAATACCTATAGTAGAATTAAATTGATAAGTGTTTTTTTCTTTTCTTTCCTTTTTTTCTATTTATATACTTTAATACAAGCTTGAGGGTAAATTTTATGAACAGCATCACCTGGTGCACGACCTGCTTCACGATCAAGATAATATGATTGAAGGAAAACTGCTTGATCACTGCGACACCGTATCCATATATCACCTTCATTTCGACATTCAACACGAACACCTTTTCCAATATGTATACTAAATTTAAAAGTTTTATTATTCGTAAAGTAAAAACAAGAAAAGAAATCTTACCGTGCTTTTTCACTTGTTTCAGTACGATGTACATTACTTAGTGGACCTAAACAAAATCGATCACCAACAGTAGCCATATCCATTCCACCATCAACAATCACTTCTTTATATGTATCAGGCACCTTAAATGTTTCACCAACTTGTACATCACGTTCATAATAAATTATACTACACCAATATTCACCAACATAATTAATTAATGGTAATGGTTGAATGGGTGGTGCAGCAGTTATACCATTTGGAGGTACAAAAGAATGTTGTTGCCCTATCGTAAATAATTTCAAATTATTGATAGAAAAGAAATAAAATCAATACTACTTACATAAGTTAACTGCAGGTGCTGGTGGTTGTGTCCATAGAGAAACTGGTCCATCTTAATTGAAAATAACTTATATGATTAAAAATTCTATCAAGTACTACATATATTTTGTATATGTTTCCAATGGGGAATACGAGAGAAAGCTGGCTTTTTTCTTCTCGAAAAAAATACACTTATGATTTCTTTATTTCTGTAGATGGATATTTGGAAGATAATGGGAGTACGAAGGAAAAGATCTATTATTGACAGTAAACTGCGCAATATAATAAATTTGTCATCTGCATATATCATTGTCATGGTATTATAACATTACAAAGAGTATTGATCGTATTGCGCAAGTAGTAAATTCATACTTAAACTGAAACTATAAAACAATAAAAACAAAAGAATTTTATGTAAGAGAATAACAATAACAATTTTATAGATTCAACAATGTTTTCGTTTAGTAGAAAATAAAATTAGTTATTAATACTTCAAACTCGTATATTCTTAAGTTTTTCGAATTGGTAGTATACTAAATTGAATGATGATTTTACCTTGTGGAAGCATAGCTTGTGGAAAACCATTTGTATTTGTAACAGCAGTTCCATTAGTTGTATATTGATGTGGAGGACTTGGACTAGTCGTATCTGGAGCTTGATGTTGAATAGCAATCATAGGTTGTGGAGAATTTTGATCATCTCTGTAATCTATTAAAAAGAAACAGAAAAGAAATATTTGCTTTTTAGAAAACATTGGATAGAAACCTTTCATATAACGATATCCATCTGTTGTTGAATATATATCACGATCATTCGATGATGATGGATCACCATGACCAGACAGTTGAAAACGTGGTACCAATGGCATTCCTGCTAAGTCTTTCAAAAACAAAAACAAAATTCATTATATATTTGATTCAGAAAAAAATTTCATAATTACCAATACCAGGAGGAACAACTCGTTCATAATGATATGGATTTACTAGAAAATACAAATCTATATAATAAATATAAAAACAAAAATAAACTTACCACAAACATATTCTTGTTTTAGATCAAACGCTAATGGACAACATTTTAAATGTTTTAATTCATTTTTATGTAAATCAGGCCATCGCCATATACGAGCATAAATTACATGTGGAAAACCTTTACGACCAGCCACCTAAATTGTATAGAAAAATATTTGTTTTTTAAATTTTCAATCAGAGAAAATAAATTTTAAATATAAGACCTGTAATCTTCCATCGAGTGTTCTTTGAATTGTAACACATTTCGTTGGTATTTGTCCACTCGACGTAATTGATGTGACTAATGCATCAAGTTCATCTTTTTTGTCTTTAAGTTTTTTAACCAAACTAAAAGAAAAAATTTGATTAGATTTCATTTTCTTTAACTTTTTCATTAAACCTTTCGATAGCTCGTTTAGAAAAAGTTTCACTTTCACCATTTGTTCGTTGTCGATGACATAAAAGATTTGCCACTATTCCATTGCATGCATCTGATGATGTTCCACCGCTATTTGATGATGAAGCACCGTTTGATGTTGGACTATGAGAATGAAGTGGAGGTGAACTTGACATCATTCTTACAGATGATGATGCTGATGATGATGTACCAGTTGATACAGATTGATGAATAAGAAAGTCCACTTTGTAAATAATTAATTAATAAAAGAAATATTTATATGGAAAAAATTATAATTAAAATTCAAGCGTGAAAATAATTCGATAAGTGTTCGTTTTTCGTTTCCACATTAACGATTCGACCGATAGGCGGAGTAATACAAAATAGAATAAATATTGCTGGATACCATATGACATGCGCTTAGACCTTCAATTAAATTTCTTATATTGATTGTAGTGACCTCTTTCTATAGTATTCATAAGATATCTTACTGGATATATAACTTATTTGTAAAGATAACTTCTTTTTTTAGAATATAGACAATAAATCGCGTAAGAAAATAATTACTAGAAAAAAAAACAAAGTGTAAACAAACATTAATTTAACGTTGTGTTGACAACCGCTTTATACATTTAATATGACAAAAATGTTCTCTATCTTATGAATATATATTTTCAGATCAGTATTCATTCAATTTTTTCTTACCATTAAATGGCTCAAGCTACATTATCACTCGGTGGTGAACGTATTACAGGTATGCAGATATATATATATTAAAGATAAAAATATATATTCTTTTGTTTTGAAATTGTAATTTCCAGGCGATTCAGTTCGTACACAAAATGGTTAGTAAATTTTTTTGTAAAAAATAAGATAAGTATATTTTGTTTTTTTTCATTTAATAAAATAGTTTTAGCAGCTATGGCTATTGCCAATATTGTTCGAACATCATTAGGTCCACTTGGTCTTGATAAAATGATGGTTGATGATATAGGAGTATGTTGTTTTTTTTCTAATAAATATTAAATTGAATCTATGTATAGGATGTAACCATTACAAACGATGGTGCCACAATCCTTAAATTACTTGAGGTTGAACATCCAGCTGCAAAAGTACTTGTTGAATTAGCTCAATTACAAGATCAAGAAGTTGGTGATGGTACAACCAGTGTTGTAAGTGTTAAATAATTTTTATTTAATAAAAAATAAATTTCATGTTTTTTTCGCTAAGGTTATTATTGCTGCTGAATTATTAAAAAATGCTGATACACTTGTTAAACAAAAAATTCATCCAACATCAGTCATTAGTGGTTATAAATTGGCTTGCAAGTAAGAAATAAATTTCTTATGTTTTCATTAATAAAAAAAAATGATTCATTTTCAGATTAGCAGTCAAATATATTCAAGATAAAATGATTATTAATGTTGAAGAATTAGGTACTGATTGTTTAATGAATGTTGCTAAAACATCAATGGCAAGTAAAGTTATTGGAATGTATGTATTTTATTTTATGGTTTTTTGTTGAAAATAAAATTTTCTTTGTTTTTTTCTCTGTTAGGGATGCTGATTTCTTTGCTAAAATGTGTGTTGATGCAGCAAATCTTGTTAAATTTAATGAAAAAGATAAAATTGTTGTACCAATTAAATCAGTCAATGTGTTAAAAGCGCATGGCCGATCAACACATGAAAGTGCATTGATATCTGGTTATGCATTAAATTGTACAGTTGCTTCGCAATTAATGGCAAAGAGAATAACAAATGCTAAAATCGCATGTTTGGATTTTAGTTTACAAAAAGTTCGAATGAAATTAGGTGTTCAAATTGTTGTTGAAGATCCAGAAAAACTTGAAGCTATTCGGAGACGGTTAGTAATTCAATTATCAAATGACATGTAAAATAAACGATACATGTATACATTTAGAGAGACTGATATTGCTAAAGAACGTGTTGCTAAATTATTGAATGCTGGAGCAAATGTAATCTTAACAACAGGTGGTATTGATGATCTCTGTTTGAAACAATTTGTTGAAGCCGGAGCAATGGCTGTTCGACGTTGCAAAAAAGCTGATTTAAAACGTATTGCTAAAGCAACTGGAGGTAAATATATCACAGAAAAAAAAAAGAATATGATATACATATATATATTATCTTATGTTTAGCAACCTTATTAACTGCATTAGCTAATATGGAAGGTGATGAATCAGTTGATGCATCAGTCATTGGTAGTGCTGAAGAAGTAGTTCAAGAACGTATATGCGATGATGAACTTATTTTAATCCGAGGACCAAAAGCACGTACAGCTGCATCAATTATCATTCGTGGTGCAAATGATTTCATGTGTGATGAAATTGAACGTTCAATTCATGATGCGTTATGTGTTGTTAAACGTGTACTTGAATCAAAACAAGTTGTACCAGGTGGTGGCTGTTGTGAAACAGCACTTTCAATTTATTTAGAAAATTTTGCTACAACAGTTGTATGTATTTACTTAATCATTAGTAACAAAATATTTCATTATTATTGTTTAGAGTTCACGTGAACAATTAGCTATTGCTGAATTTGCATCCGCACTTTTATCAATACCTAAAGCATTGAGTGTTAATGCTGCACAAGATGCAACAGAACTTGTAGCTAAACTTCGTGCATATCATAATGCATCACAAACACAAAAGGATAAAGAACAACTTAAATGGTTCGGTTTAGATCTTCAAGCTGGTAAAATTCGAGATAGTAAAGCAATTGGTGTATTTGAACCAGCTATATCAAAAATAAAATCATTAAAATATGCAACTGAAGCAGCTATTACTATTTTACGTATTGATGATATGATTAAACTCGACAAAGAAGAAAAGAAAGGTCGACATGGTGATGAATGCATGTAAACGATGATGATCAAAATAAGAATGAATTTCAAAAAAAAAAAAGAAATGACAACAGAACAAAAAAAATGTGTGTGTGATTTTTTCGTGTGCCATCTTGTTATCGTTTATTGTTGAATTTTTTCTTTTATTTACTATTGTCATTGTTACCGCCGTTTCTATTCCCTAGGAAAAAGAAAAAGAACTTTATTCACACATAATCTTTCTCTATACATATAAAGATCATGAATTTGAAGGACATGACCATGAATATGATGACTGATGGACTAGCTTCTTTTTTTCATGATTATAAATGAGTCTAGAAAAGAAATGTTTTAAATATTAATAAAACACAAATGATGATTTGATTGAAGAATGGATATCGAGTATTATTAGTCTTGTGATTGAAAAGTATATTACGAGACTATAAATACATTTCAAAGGATAAAAAAATGAATGAATCAATGAATGAATATATATATCGAACGAATACGATCAATTGACTGACTCTATGGCATTAATTCAACGTTATACAACTGAACTATCAACGCATTCTACAGTCAACCGTCATGTTCATGATGAAAAACAATCTGTTGAACATTCTCTTCAAAATGTTGCCAATATAAAACGACAAGATGATGATGAAAAACGTTATCTTCATTCATTAAATGATCGTCTTGAAGATTTACTTCATAGTTTAGATGAACTTGAAAAAGCCAATATAAAATTACGTGATGATTTGAATTTATTAATATTAAATTGGGGTATTGGTGGAGAAAATCGTTTAAAATTTTTAGAAGATCTTGATCAAATCATAAAACGTTTAGGTGAACAAAATCGTCAGAAAATTATTTTTCAAGCTGAAGCAAAAATATTCGATGAACAAAGTGAACTTATTGATCGTGTTTCAGTTGTTTTTGTTAGTGTAGTTAATTTATATCGAGATAAATGTCAAATCTTATTTGAATTAACAAATGAATTAGAAGAAGAATTACGTAAAATTCGTTTACGTCTTGATTTAAGTAATACACAAGTTAAAGCTCATGATGATGATTATCAAAAAGAATTAGCAAAATTTCGTTCATATTTAGCTGAATGGTCACAACTTGCATTAGATAAACAATATTTATTAAATGAAATTCAATCACTTAAAGAACGTTATAATTTACGTTTAGCTTATAATCAAGAAGAAATAAATGAATGGCAACGTTTATTAAATCGTATATCACAAGAATCAAAAAATTATTATCGAGATTATTTAGATACAATTAAACAAAAAATACAAATGGATTATGAACAAATGGCTAAAGATCAACAAATAGATATTGAAATAAAATTAAAAAGTCGATTAAATGAAATGCAAGAGAAAATTCATATGGGTTTACCACTTGATGATGCAGGTTAGATTTTATATTTTTGAATTCAATTTTATTCAATATTTTTTTTCTAGATGAAAGACGACGTCATGAAGAAAGTCAACGTTTTGAAAGTCGTTTAGATGAAAGTACAAAAGAATATGATCGTTTACAAAATGATTATCAAATATTAGCAGAAGAAATGCAACGTAAACGACGAATATTACGAAATCTTGAAAATGATTTACGTACTAAAGCACGACAACATGCTGAAGAACATGCTCGTCTTGAACATAATACGAGTTTAACACGTGCAGAATATTATGCATTAAAAGATGAATTAGATAAATTAGCTTATACACTTCGATTCAGTGTTGAAGAAGAATTACGTATTTATGAAGCTTTATTAAATTCATTAAATAGACGAAAAGAAGATCGTGTAATTACTGATGATTCAAGATTTCATCAAACAACAACAAAACGTTTTACTGAAACACTAAATACTGAAGGAGATACAATTGATTTTCGAAAATCACAACCGAATCTATCTGAAACATCACGAACATTTGTAACACAAACAAATATTAGTGATACGCTACCATATCGACCACCACCATTACTATCAGAAACAATAACAACAACAAAACATTTTACTGATACATTTAATACTGGTGGAGATTCAAGTGGATTTCGACGTTCTCAACCAAGTTTATCTGAAACATCGCGAACATTTACAACACAAACAAATGTAAATGAGTCAACAAAATATCCATCATCACCATTTATAACAGAAACAAAAACAATAAAACAAGAACATGATACTGTAAATTTATTGAAAAAAAAACTCTAAACTTATATTTTATAATCATTATTATTTTATAGGTAGACAAACCAAGTAATCAATGGTCTTATGAAACTATTTCATCATCATCAACACATGGTGATGTTGCAGATCGTGATCGATCCGTAGAAAAGACAACTATTCCTACACGTACAGATGCAGATCTATATGGTATACAACAAAATTTAATTGATCAAAATCGAACAACAACAACTACACGAACAACAAAACGTTTTGGTGGTGATGCTTCTGGACGTCAATCAGCAGGTATTAGTTCCGGTCGTAAGAGTCAAGTTATTACTTCTGATGTACCAGAACTTGATGAAAAATTTTTGCAAAGTAAAATTCATATTACACGAAAATATAAAGGTAAATAAATGAATAAATAGAAAATCTTATTTTTATTATAAACTATTGAATTTCATTTTATTTTTAGGAAATATTCTTATTAAATTTGTTGATGTTAGTGGTCGTTTTGTTGAAATAGAAAATACAGGTAATCAACCACGTGATTTAACTGGATGGTATATCGAACGAATAGTTGATGACCAACGTATTGAATATACATTTCCTATTTATGAACTTGGTCCACATAGAACTGTTCGTGTTTATGGAAATTATCATCGACGTTCATCATCAAATTCTACTGATCAACATTTACAACTTATTGCGCCAAATTTTTATGATTGGGGAAATGGAAGACAAATGCGTACTGAATTATTTAATCGTGACGATGTTGGTAAAGCATTATTTGAACAAACAATAAAAGATTAAGAATAATTGTATATAAATTTCTTTTCTGTCAATAGTATGTAGTTTTAGTTAATTATATTTATACATAAAAATAAAAAGAATAGAACAAGTCTTGCGCATGTAAATGTTTTTAATAAAGAGTTATTGTTTACGCATTGATAGATACTTCTCCGCTTGGCAATGCTGTAGCCCATCCAAGACATGGACGAAGGGCACCTGTTTTAGAATTTTGACCAATACCTAAAAATCCAGCAATTAATTTCATCTTAATTTCATGTCCATTATCATCCAGAACAAAATCTGTTTGAGTAACACTTTCATTGAAATCACTAAATTCAATACCATTGATTAGACCCTAAAAATATATAAAATAAAATAATTAATTGCATTTTTTTACAGAAATTAAACAAAAGAAATAATTTACTTGACAATAATGATGATGATCACGTCGAGCGACTCGGTAACCGCCTTTTCCATCGGATGTATATCTACAGAATAAAATGAAAGAACTAGATTCACTTGATTCTTGTCGATATTAAAATTAACTTACGGAACAAAATCAGCGAGCCATCCAGCTAACATACTAATATCAGATCCACCACCTACGCTATGACAAATTTTTTGCCACCAATCGATATTAGGTTTTCCTTCAGCACTTGCTTTTAATTCTTTTACATGAGGTAAAAGTGTATCTAACCACCAATTAAAATCAGTGAAAATAGTGCGTAATTGATTAATTCGATCAATGACTTGTTGAAAATCGGCTGGTGACCCACGTAATGTTACTTGTGGAATACCACAACATAGACTAAATCGAAAATCATAATAAGACTTAACACTATCCATCAATGTGCAATCGAAAACAGCTTGTTCAACGGGTGTTGTACCAGAAAAGGGCGTGGTCAAAAGTGTTGCTAAATCTGTTTTCATATCATTTCTAATCAGTTGTCCCATTTGTCGAACAGCAGCTGACCAATCAATAGCAGGTACAGATTTATTACCGTTCTTAGGCCGAGCAGAATCTGGTATTCGAAGACTATCTACGGCAAGTTCTAATGTTTTTTTATCTTCATGTGATACCATTAATGTTCGATATTTTTCAGCATTTTGATTAAGATGAATACTAATACCTTGTCCAATACAAACCCAAATATCTTCAACACTTATTTCAAGTGGATAATGTTCACAATATGCTTTGTATACAGTAGCAACAAAGGCATTTTCAATTCGATGATTTTTTCCATTAAGGTCATTAGCTAATAGATAATTGGTTTGAAAATTTTCAAGTGATAATGCTTGCGTTTTTCCTGACCATCGATTTAAATCTTCTTGACTTAAATCTTCAGTTTCAACGTGCTTTTTTGCACATACATCGACTTTTGCTACAGCGAAGGTAGTACTAGCCATATTATTTATGTTAATGATTGAAGAAACAAGGTTTAAAAATGTTTATCGACCTTCTTATTTGCTTTATATAGATGAGAAAAAAATTGATGATTCATCGAATGAATCACTCGGTTGATTTTCATCAAGATTGGGTAATTACAGATACGCATGATATCAGGCTTACAATCATACAGAAGATAAGAATTCTGGCATTCTTACTTTGTAATATCTAAAATGTATAATAATATGAATAAATAAAGTAATCATCATAAAAGATGTCGTAATAAAAGCATTTTACTGATTAAGAAGTTCATATAATTATATTGCAACCTTTCGTTTTATTATTCTTCTCGCAAATATTTATTTTTAAGAGTACTTTTTTTTCGATAATTAATCGCATGCAAAAAAGATGTTACAATACATACAATCATATTAGATAATCTTATTTTATGTTGGACATTTTTTCTGTTTTCTTTTTTATTTGAAATAAATATAAGTGTAAATGAAAACTTTTAAGTCAAACATGTTTAATAAATGTCTTTATTGGCATGTTCACCACTTGATAATCAATGTCCGGAGAGAGAGAGTGTATGTATATATATATATATATACATGTATGTGTGTGTAAAAAAGAAAAAAAGCCTGTCTTTACATTCTTTCGTTTTACAACCATTCTTTTCATGTGGTATTTACAGTTAAACGGCATACGAAAAGAGAAAAAAAGAAGTTCAAAGAGAACGAAGGAAAAAAAAATGAAGTCGTTCTAATCTCAATTTATCTATTGAATGAAGAACGAACACGTATATACAATTCACATTCCATTTTATCGCTTTAGTTCAATTCATGCATACATTTCAATGAAAGTCGTTGTCTTCTTCGAGATTTCTTCTTCTTCTTCTTCTTTTCTCATAAGTCAAATGTTATCAACAAAAACTTCTCTTTTTCTTTCTTCTTCTTTCGTCCTTTTATACACAGGTAAATATATGTTCGTATATGTGGTAAAAATAGAAGAAGAAAGAACACATATTAATACATAAACTATTACATTTTTCTAGATGGCACACGCGTTTGACAATCGAAATTCTATTCCGAATAATCAACAAAATACATTTCATAATATTAAATTACCATTATCGCAAACCGATATAACAAATACTCTTTTAACAAGATCATCTTCACCACAATCGAATCATCGTCCACCATCTTATGAAGAAAGTGTTTTTTATAAAACAATACCTACACATCAAAAACAACAATCTATATCCAGTAATAATCTTATCCATATTAAGAATGATTAATATATGTACATAATATTGCATTGATTTAGATGATTATAGTCCATGTCAGACAGAAAATCATGGTTCTGATACAAAACCACCACCACCTGTGCGTATGCCGCGATTAACATCAATAACGAATAATAATTACGTACGTCGTACAAATATTTTGCCTCAATATTCATCGAACGGAATAAAAACACATACGACTTATTTAAATTCAACTCAACTTTATATAACTCAACCTTTATTATCTCAAGATCCTCCACCACCGCCACCACCACGCTATCCTCTTCAACCTCCAGCTATTCCACCACGTAATTCATCTACACTAAATCAAAAAAATTCAGTAATAATCCCGGATTTTAATTCATCAAATTCACCAAAAATAGTTTATCGATCAACGGATCATAGAAATGATCTCGAACAACAAATTGATTCAATTCCAACTGATGATAATCGAGTTATAACAAATGATTCAATTACTGGAGAATATTTCGGTAAGAAATTAAGTCTATCTATCTATCTATCATTGTACAGATAAATAATCTCTTATTTTTTCATTGATCCATAAAAGTAAAATTGATTTTTCTTTGTTTTTATTAGGCGAGTGTTGTAAATGTGGTGAAATGATAACAAGTTTAGATGATCCATGCGATATATTCGGTCAAATTTATCATAGTTCTTGTGCTGTTTGTGTTTTATGTGGACGATCCGTAAAAAATAAGCATTTCTTTATTAAAGATCAATTATATTGTGAAGAAGATTTTTTAGTAAAAAAAATTATTTCATAAAAAAAATTTTTTAAAATATATTTTTATTATAGTATACAGGTTTTCATCAAACACTTGAACAATGTGTCGCTTGTAATCATTTAATTACTGATACCGTATGTCACATTTCTTTAAATTTATATATTTATTAGAAAATTAAATTGTAGATTTTACAAGCACTTGGTGATTCATATCATGTAGAATGTTTTAAATGTTCGAAATGTTTGATTTGTTTGGATGGTATGCCATTTATACGAGATAAAAAACAAAATCTTTTTTGTTTACATGATTATTATATGTAAGAAAGAATTTATTTAAATATTAATTATTTTATTTATGAAAAAGGACTTATGGACCACAATGTAGCAAATGTTTAAAGATAATTTTTCCGGAAGACGTAGGATTAAAAAAAATTTATTTACTTCTATTTGATTAATATTCTATAGGGTTCAAATGAAACTGTAAGGATTATTTCAATGGGTAAAACATTTCATATTGAATGTTATCGATGTGAGGTTAGTCGTTTTATTTTTAATTAGAATATATATATTATTATTATGTTTATTTAGGATTGTTCAATGCAATTAGGTGATGAACAAAATCGTCGTTGTTATCCGTTAGATAATAAATTATTTTGTCGAGAATGTTGTCAACAACGTCTTATTTGTTTTGATAATTTTTAATGAAAATAAGCCTGTTTTGTATTATTTGTCAGATATGATCGCTTCATTGATCAGATTATTTGTTGTTTGTTTTTGTGTTTTCGATTAATTAAATCATTGAAATAAATATCGGTATTTGCTTCAATTTTGAAATATATTCGATTGAATTTTAATCTTGTTATATTTATTGCACAATTCTATTGAATTAATAAATAAATTATATTCATAAAATATGAATTGATATTTTATATTTTTCTATTCATTAATTTGAAGATAAAAATATTGTTTAACTTTTGTCTAAAAAATAAATTTTTGTTTTGATTTCAGTTCATATTAATACATTTGCATAATTTTGTTAGTGGGTATATTTGCAATTATAAATATGAATACTTTTTAATTACTGAGAAAAAAAACATCACTTTATTCGAACATATCATGAAAAACATATTAAATTTTCTGTTTCGTAAAAGTAATTTTTCAACCATTCTGTTTTCAATATGATTATACTTTTTTTCTTTTCGATTTATTTCAAAATATAATGATGATCAAAATAAAGGAATCAGTCACGCATACGACAGTTCTTTTTGACATTTGTTTTTTTCATAGATATATACGTATGCGTATATATATATATGTGTCTATGCGTATTCCTAACGTTTTGACAGGTGAGAGACCCACGTTCAGGTTGCTTGCCTCTTTTGTAATTACTCATCGTTATTTGCCATCCTCTCTACGGGTAATATGAAAAAGAAGAAAAAAAGGTAATAACCCACTCATTTTTTTTTATTAGTTACTTATTAGTTTGGTGATATGACAAACATGTGCCTTTTCAGAAATAAATCTTGATTTTTATACGTAAATTTTCATTAGTAGGAATGACCTGTTTTTTTCTTCTTCTAATGAGAATATGTCATATGACCCATTTTCTTAAATATTTTCTAAATAGATTTATATATATATATTTATATGTATTCGAAATTTAGTGGGTATTTTCGTCCATCACGTTCTCATCGCGTACAAGCATCAATGTATAAAAACGGATATGTATCAGCTGACGACGCCAATGCTTATTATTCTGCTGGAAATATGAATGATCCTTTACTTCGTTTTATTATTATTCGTCATGGAGAACGTGTAGATAATTCATTTGGTCCTGGTTGGACACAACGTGCATTTAATTATGGTCAATACTATCCGTTCGATGGAAATATGCCGCCAACATTACCTGTTCGATTGAATTATTTAGATTATGAAGGAGATACACCATTGACTAGAAATGGTTTAAAACAATCATGGAATGTTGGTAATACACTTGCTAAAACTAATTCACCAGTAGTCGCTTGTTATTCATCACCTGCTATTCGTAGTATACAAACGGCTGATAATATTCTTGCTGGTATGGGTCGAAGAGGTAAATAAAAAAATTTTCGTTTTAGTAAAATCTACATATATGAAATTATTTATTAGATATTCCAATAAAACTTGATCTTAGTTTATTTGAATGTTCATCGTGGTATGCTCGATCACCAATTAATTTTATGTCTGATCAAGAATTACTTCATAATGGTTTAAATATTGATCACAGTTATCAAGCACAAGTCAAAAATCTTCAACCAACGGAAACTGAATATCAATATTATGATCGTTCGAAAGAAATTATGAAAAAATTAATTAAAGTACATCGAAAAACAGGTGGTACTGTTTTAATTGTTGCACATGCACCTAGTCTTGAAGTACTTACACGTCATTTAATGAATGGTCACCCAAGACCAGAACAACTTTATGATCTTGCTGGAAGAGTTAATTATTGTAGTATGACCATTCTTGACGGAAAACCATCATCAAAAGCATGGCAATTTCGTTATTCACTTGATGAATTGAGTAGTCCTCAACAACAAACTGCAGATCATTCTAATGGCGGTTTACAACCATCACCAACAGTAAACTATCAACCATTAATTTTAGCTCCAAATTTTCTGCCAGGATCCCTTTTACCAACACCGACGATGCAAACACCAATGATGCAACCGTCAATGATGCAAGCACAAATAATGCCAACACCAATGATGCAACCATCAATGATGCAAGCACCAATGATGCCAGTACAAATGATGCCTGCACCCATGCTACCCAATTTTCAGTACTATTCTTAAATTAAAAAGATATCTTTTATATTATGTTAATTTAATGATTTGTTGTATATTATCAATATTCAATCATAAATTAAAAAATTCTTGCATTATTTTTTATATTTTGCATCAATTTTTTTTCTATAAATATATAACTTTGATAAATCCTTTTACAAATATTCTCTATCAATTGACTTTGAAATCCTTATTTTACTGAAGATTATAGGTTGATTATCAATAGTAGCTATTGAAGGATTTTTTTGAAAGTTAATATTAATTACTATACCATCCATTTGCTTTGAATCATTTAAAATTTTCCTTAAACACGTATTCATAAAAATATTTTGTTTCACTTCATTATTCTTTCGTATTTTTCTCCAATCTTATACGGAACTATCATTTCATAGAGAATTTATTCAAAATATAAACAACTATTGAACAATATTTATGCTTTAAAAAAAACTAAATGTGGAAAGATTGTATCGTAACAAAAATATTACAATATTTTGAATTTTCTCTCTCATTAAAAAACAAACAAATCAATCTTTAAGATTCTATATTTTTCATAGAAAATATCCGATTGAATTTATTCATGATCAATTTGATATCTATCAAATCTTATACATTGACGTGATAGTTAATTAAATGATTTCTTCTGTGAAAAGTGTGCATACGTCATAGTATAAATAATTTGAGTAGTGTAACAATATACATATGTATGATAAGAAAAATAAAAACAAATGTTAGATGTACCCGTGGTCTTCTTCTGAGTATTTTCTTTTTGAGGAAAAAAGATGTTTTTTTGAAATATTAGCTGCAACTTTGTGTTTTCTTATTCAATCAAAACAGAAACAAACAAACATTGACATATAATCAACAAAGAGAAAGAATCTAAAAAAAAACATATAAACAAAGCACCAACTGCGCATTAACGAAAGAGCGAGAGAATTATAAAGTAGTTATACACATAGTACATTTTATAATAAATAAAACGAGGAAAAAAAAACAAAAACATTTGACTGCGCCATAAAAAAATTCAACGAACCATTTTTTTTTCTATATATTAAAACATTATTAATTAATGTCTTAGTCGTAGAAATGGGTCTGTTGTTTGATCGAGTAAACTACTCTCTATTTCACTATCGAACATAAATCGACCACATTGTTCACGTTTGAATAAAGTATTACCATCGTTCATATATTGACCATAACGACGATGAAGAATAGGATTTAAAGATAATAGACGAAGTGTATTAAAGACCATTTGACGTGATGGATTAAGTTCAGATACTAATGTCAAATAGGGTCCATCTGAATTTTGACGAAATGTACATGCTAAATTATCGATTGAAATATTCGACTAAAAATAAAAAAATTTCAAAAAAAAAGAAGATGATTTAATATAGATATACCTTTGACACTATCTGTCCTCTTTTATTCATACATAACCATAGACCAGATAGATGATTTTGAATTTGAACACGACTATAGGCACCTACTGATCGAAAGCCAAAAATAGCTATAAGTTGTTTTAATAGAGGAAGAAGAAAAAACAAACATGTTATTGAAATGTTTCAATTAGTAAAGAAAATAAATATGTTACTTGAAGGATCTTGTCGATTTTGAACAACAGTACGAAAAGGTTTTCTTTTCGAAAATCGAAGGTAAAGAGAGCCAGGTAAAATATTACAATGAAAAACAATACGATAATAACGTGTTGTTGCTAAATGTGAACCAAGTGGTTGACGATGTAAAAAACTAACTAATGATGGACGATAATGATGATTGTCGTCAGGTTTATATTGAATAAAAGACGAGAATTGTTCTTCTTTTTCGTTAGATAATAAGGGTGCAGATAAGGATAATAGTGGCTAAATATAAAAATAAGCAAATATTTTATAGATTTTATTCAAGTACATGAGATGTAATATAACACAAAATAGAAGATAACGACAAAAAAAATGTTAATTATATTCCTATCAATTTTTGTCATCAATTATTTTCCTAACAAATAGCCTTAGAAATCTTAATTAATATTTTTTTTCAATTTCTAATTTATATGATGTTATTCTATGCTGTAATAACTATTTTTGATATTTCCTTCTTCATCTATTCAATTGACCTTGTAATGAACAAATGAAATGATTAACTCTAGTTCAAGTTTTCATTTTTCTATTCACAAATCTTTTTCAATATATTCAGAACTATTATGATTAAATTGCCATCATGTTCATATGATGTAACATTTTCATTCTTTCATTCATTGTATGCAAAATAATTGAGAACAATTGAATGAACTATGAACTTTTGTTATTACTAATAAAATCAATCAGTAAACTGAACTAACACCGAACAAAAAAAAATTCTTCCGAGATTTATTTCACTGATGTAACGATATTCTTACGAAATTGTTATTGTGACTCTTTTGATAATATATAGGGGATTGTTTACGATCTTCATCGTTTTCGTTTTGTCATCATTAACTAAGTAAAGAACAAGAAAAATACGATTGCTTTTACGAAATTTATTATTACTGTAGCTTAAAACAACAACATTACTATTGTCAATATATTACATTTACTCAGGCCATTTTCTTTTTCACCCCTCAATAGGTCGTTTGAAAAGAATAGGTAATACATATAAACACGCGCACATTCTTCACATAGTATTCTTAGTCGTTAAATCACACCTGTGTTGTCACCGTTATTTTCCACTGATGCTATTTCTTCACCTACTAAAGGTAATATTAAATGCAAGCAAACAATAGCGACAAACGAGGCATTGTTGATAATCCTCACTTGTTAAAATGTTTGTATGGTGTAAGAAAAAAAAAGAAAATAATAACGAAATCAAAGTAAAGAATAAAAAAAAAGTAAAAGCGAAGTATCGATCAAAAGATTGTACATTATTATGATAATAATAGGAATGACAATGAACATTTGATAGACAGAAATTTACATACATATATACATCTATGTACATACGCACGTACTGAGATTCTTATCAAATATGAACGAAAACGGTGACACTTCATCATCATCATCATCATCATCGTTACTAGCAATACTATTATTATCGTTTTCATGATCAATCCTTGACACAACATGATAAACCACATCATCATACATATTATAGGTGAGAGTATAAACATCACCTTCTGTTTGCAAATTTGCTTTTTTGCTACAAGAAACAATCTGTTTTTTTTCATACAATATTTTATGAGAAAAAAACATAAAATCAAGTATATAAATTGATCTAGCCATTGTAATCATAGATAGTGACTTTCACCAAGCTTTAATTCAAATATTTGTGATCTACTACTCAAATATCATCATAGACGACTGTAGTCTGAATGTTGACATAAAAAAATCTATTAAATATAATATCAGACATGAAGAACAAGATAATAGTTATGTTTTTCTGTTATCGTGAGTATAAAACTTAAATCAACGGGCAGAAAAAAAGGAATGTAATAATGATCTCTTTTTACTATAAATTGAAAGAAATCAAATTAAGTCTATCGATGACTATTGTGTGAACTGTTAGAGATCATAAACTGATATATTAATATATACATAAATATCTCTATCAAAAGGACTAGTAGTCTTAAAAGAAGGTCGTGTTTATGTGCGACAAACTAAAAAGAGAAGGACCCTCGTAAATTAGCAATAGAGGAAAGATTAACAGATAAATTCCGATAGATATCTTGTACTTACCACAGTGGAAAGACTGGCAGCTAGGATGAACAGTAAAATCAGTCTTCTTGCCATCCATTCGTTATAACAAGTTGAAACAACATTATTATAATTAGTGTAATGATAATTGATCAATTGATATTGGAATATGAGACAACAGAACAAGAAAATATAACATGATTGATGAAAATACACCCACACACAACTCACGGCCACAATAATATTCAATCGAGACTATTGAAGATGCAAATTTTTGATCAAAAAATGTTTTACACCGAATATAGAGTATGAGAAGAGGATTTACGTGTGTCTTTTGCTATTTATAAAAAAAAATCGTACACAAAAAAAAGAATCGAACAAGAAAATTACATACATACTCTCGTCTCTCTACCTCTCTCTCTCTCTTCATGTCATCGTTCTCTTTTCATACGTACACATACACATGTTCTCTCCCTCGCTCTCTCTCTCTCTCTTTCTCCTTTGCTCTTTTCTTTAGTATTTCATCTAAGTAATACATTACTGATGGGTGAGGAAGACAGAGAGGGAGGGGGAAAGAAAGGTAAAACGAGGTCCCGTCTCTCTTGTTCAATTGATTTTCGTTAGTAATATTCGATGAGAAATATCGATTGATGAGTGTGAATGAGTGATGAGGGAGAAAGTGTGAAATCAATCGTCATCAGAATGTATTAAGATTGAACGAATAACACACCCATATATACATATATATATATATGTATGTACACATTTTCCCTTGATATTCGAATACGAAAACATCGTATCTATACAAAAAAAAAAGAAAGATGACAGTAGTAGTGATAATGATGATGAAAATTTACAAAAAAATCGATAATGATGACATAATCAATTCATGAGACAGACGGACATAGTCCTCTTCTGTTATCAAATTTCTGTCGTTGTCTTTGATTATATATATACATATACACATATATATATATATATATTTGTTTGCTTTGTCTATATACATCTCAAGTTTGATAATCATAGTCAGTTGAAATAAAGAATTCTTCAACCCTGAACTTGTCTATCATGCATACTATTTTGTATGCATATACATATTGTGATCAATCTCTTAACAGATAGCAAAAAAAGGATATGGTTTCAATTAAACGTAAAAAGGAATAGTTTTATTTCATTTTACTTTTTGATTACTCTATCACATATGTATTACTATTCAATTGTTCGATTACCAAACCAATATGAGCATGTATAGAAAAAAAAGAATGAAAAGTATGAAAAGTATGTAAAAAAAAAGGAACTGATTCATTTATTTATGATCTTTTAATACTACATATAAATATATTCACTAAAAAATTCAAGAGACTTGTAGGCGTCTAGTTAGACATTGATATGACATACTCTTTATATATATTTATTGAAAGACAATAAGAATATGTTGAACAAGTTTATTGAATTAATTGATAGTGACAAGGTTTTATACACCTAAACAAAGATTATAAAAAGAATAACACTTAACAATGTCATTGTATGATTTCAGTAAATTTAATGAAGGCAAAAATATTTAAATAGAATAACATCAACAATAACATGTTGAAATAGTAGAATAATTACAGAATTATAGGCCATTTTGTATATATAAAATAAGTTATAAAACAAAAGCAAATATTATTATTTTTTTGTACTATAAACATTAATAGAACATTCGAGTTCGATTAACAAATATATTCGATGTACATTTTAAGGTCATATATAATCGACACATTGCTCTTCAAATTTGTTTTCATGTTTGAAGAATCCTTAGATATATATATTCCATTTACTTTAGTGAATTGTACAAAAAAAAGAAAAAAAAGGTGAAGAAATATATGATTTGATGTTTAACTTTATATTGTTCATGGAGAAATTTTATACGCATATATTCTCATCATTAGCACTTTCAACTACCGACAAAATGAATAAAAGAGGATATCATAGAAATTCAAAGTCAATAGCTTCAATTGCGTATATACGAAATTTTCTTTTTTCTGTTGTTATAGATGCAAAGAATAAAACTACTTGACAGCCTCAATGTGAATATTGATAGCTGACGTGTACTTGAAAGTACTTGAATGATAGATATTCAAAATAAATATGAAAACCTTGAATATATAATATGTACATGATAGGCACAAGTCAACGAAAACTATTATTATATTATATAGGTTATTTTCTGTCTCGATATAATATGATTATATATTATCACATTATGACAAGAAAAAGACAAGTTCGTTCTTGTTTTATATAAATAATTTGATTAGATAATTTATTGTGTGAAATATTAATGAATGAATATGATCTAATATAAAAATGTACTTGATGTTAATATCAGAGTCAGTTTACAATTTTATTCAAATATCATATATTATTCATATGATAAAACGATTGTATTATTGATTAAGATGAAAATGAGTTGGATCGTGTTTCCTATCAATTGACTTATTTGTTACATAGCCATAGAGAATTTTTCTATTGACCGATATGAGAGAAGATCATTCAAATCAATTTCATGAAATATAATATAGTCATTATTCTATCAAGGTTTTTTCTTCTAGATGAAATTAAACATTAGAATCTAAGTTGACTATGATTTATAGAAGAATTGTCCTTGCTTTTGTCTTTATTATCAAGAGAACAATTAAAATTTGTCATTTTTATGAATCAAATAATCTCGATAAAATTTTATTAATATAAAAAAAAGAGGTTTCAGTTTTTTTCTCTGTTCTTTATTCTTACAAATAAAAATTCATATGCATGTGGTTTTTTTTCTGTTGAAATAAACCAAAATTCTACTTATACATGAATAAATTTTTTTGATACGACATCGATATAAATGTTCACATAAAGATCAAATTAATTATATCAAATAAAGAAAAAACTACATAATTATGTCACCGAGTATATTTAGATAAGAATTTCCATAAACATGGCTAGATTACACACGGTTACTGATAAAGCATACAATAGAGAGATATGTGCTGGATTAAAATAAAATAGAATTGTTTATAGACCAACAGTATGCATTGCGTTAGTAATTTTATCAACAATGTACTAAAAAAACGCAAAAATTAATAATAAAATTTTTAATGAAATAAATTTATTTTACTCGAGCTTCAGATATATTTCGATATTTAACCATTTTACCAAATGAACGAGTTGATCTTAATGTTCCAGTTTTCTTTGACTCCTTAAGGAATAAACAAATAAATAAAATATTTTATTTTTGTCAATTTTTTTGATTAATTACTTTTGTAAGAATTTGTATTTGATTTAAATTAGGTTTCACAACTGGTTCTTCTTTTAAATCTTCATATTCAATTCTCCAATCAATTTCATACAGACCAAGAAACGATATTTCAGTTATAAATAACAAACGTCTAAAATTCATCGAAATTTATTTTAATAAAATAATGAATCAAAACGTTTTTACTTTGACGTAGCCAATAACCAAGATGGTGGATTGTCTGAACAAGTTATATGTGCAACATATGTATCTATTTTGGCATATTTTCCATCTTCTAGTTTCTAAAAATATATTTCAAAAAGAAAATTGATTAGAATAAGATGTAAACTAAAATAATTACATTTAAAATAAAAAATCCCATTGCTTCATGAGAAATATATGGTCGAACAAGACCATCACGACCAACATGACGTGGATAACGAACACGACGTACAACTTCTTCTTGTTGAGCAGTTCTAAATAATTTCAATATAATAAAAATAAAATCAATTTATTCTTTACCGTTTTATTAGATCTAATGAAGTACTTGCAAAATCAACAATTCCACCTGTTGGTCTTGTAACAAGACCAATAAAACCTTTTCCTAAACCTTTAACAAATCCTGATGCACCACCTTCTTTAGCACCTGAAACTGGTTTTGTAACAACACCAGTTACACCATCAACAAAACCCTTTACACAAAAAAAATCAAACAATTAAAAAATCTAATCAAAAACACATTTTCTCATCATACCATAACAACATTTTTTCCTCCTACAGCAATATCAGTAGTTGCATGAGTTGCTGGTTCTTTTCGTCTTATACGTGAAATTTTATAATCTTCATCAAATGTTAATGTCGCTAAACCTTTTCCAAGTACACCAGTTATTTTTGAAAATGCACCAGCTGCACCACCAACAGCTGAGCCAACTAACGTTCGAACACCTGTTGCTACACCTTCAGCAAATTCCATTGGACCTTCTATTGCACCCTAAAAGATAAAAATACATATTTATTTACATACATATCATTTAATTTCTTACTTTATATGGTTCATAAAAAAATGATTCAACACCTTCAGCAAGACCACGAATAACACCAAATGGATTACCAAGTACATCAAGACCAAGAACAAGTACATGAAGTTGTTTCATAAACTGATTTTGATAATGAGATGAAACTTCATTCGATAATTTTGTTATCGTATATCGATCATGTGTTCGTTCATAAAAACCCAAACTATACATGCGAGAATCATTATGTACAAATGAACTTATTATTTTTCTTTTATAGATAAATCTTACCGTAAAATAACATCTTGTACTTCTGCAACATTTAATGTTTGTAATAAAAATGCAACTAATGGATATTCAGCTAATAATTCTTGACTTGCTTTTGATCCATGCATTGAAAAACTAACATGGATCTAAATGAGAGGGATTATTATTTTAAATTTAATAATAAATGATTTAAATATACTTTGAGTGGTGATAAATGTATATTATCAAAATACATTTCTGTTTCGCCTGTTGGACTATCAGTTAATGCTTTAATAATAGCATCAAGTGGTTTTTGTATTTGTTCTAAATCCGTATCCATATTTATTGTTGGTGCTGTTGCACTCTATTCGAAACGAAAAAAAATCATTTTTTATTATAAATAAAAAAGTAAGATTGAAGTAACAAACTTTTTCTTCACGTAAAAATGCTAAGATAGCAACAATTAAACCTTGATCAATTTTAACCGCAAATTCTTGAATAAGTAATTTAAAATATTTAAATTGCATAACATTTGATCGACTTGTTTTCGATTCATAAACACTTAATTCAATGAATGATTTTTCCGCAAGATCCGTTCCTGTTGCTTTTGATATTATTGGATAAAGAACAACAGGAAACATTGTATAATCAAGTTGATTATCAATTTGTACACGATTTATTTTTATATGTAATGCAGCATTTGTAACTGACCATGCATATTCAATCCAAAGACCATCTAATGCTTGTCGTTTAGCTACTTTTCTTTGACCTTTCGAATTCACTAATTCTGCTGTATCACCATGAAATGATATTTCACGAAATTGTTCCATATGATATTTTTTTTTCAAAAGTTCTTTATCATCTGGATTAGCTTCACGTTGTTCAAGATGAGTTCGATAGAGTTCTTCTAAATGTATATTTATATCATGTGATAATGGTCGAACACGTGATTTTCTTGTTTCTGTCCAAACAACTTTAGATTTATTTAAACTTATATATAGCATTTCTTCTCGTGTTACATCATTTACAATTGATAAACCAATATCATGAATACCAATTTGAACACGTTGACCCATTGATTCTGCTAATGATGGCATCTAAATTAATTGATCGAAAATAAAATCGATTAATTCATATTAAAAATCAAATATTTACTCCAGAAGCAGCTTCGATGACTTTGGTATCATCCGAAAAAAGTAATACAGTTTGAACACCATCAACGAATGTTGTATAGCTAACATTATGATCACCATCTTGTCCAAGAAAACCACATTGAGGCTAAAAGATTAGTTTTATGTTAATTAAACAATCATTACTAAAGGAAAAAGTATTTTTTGTTTTTGTACAAAACGGATAGAAATGATCGATATTAATTTGAATAAATATCGTTCTATTTTATCTATCCGATTTTATATTGATAATTTTCTTTAGCATGCGAGAAAATTGAATTCCATTCGATTGAATAAACGGAACACAGAGTGAGCATGCTGATATATTTATTTTTCATTTTCTAGGGATTAATCAAATTAAATAAAGAAAATATCAATGATACATTGTTCGAATTAACAATTCGATTGTATCGAGATTCGAACACAGTGCTTATGTAATGGTTAACAAGCATGATAACCATTAGACTAGAGCGATTGTATGGAACTCATGAATAAAATAGTTATTAATAAAATCACATGATTCATAAATACGACCTCATCTAATTCATGTATATTATTCTGAGTAACTAACAGAGATTATCGAATCGATTTTTTAAAATATTCATTGAGAGAATTTTTCTTACAGTTAATTCCACAGTTTTTTTCTTTGAGCCACATGAGATAACTAACTCTCTTGGTTTCAATGGATCTGACCATGTATAATAAACATAATTCAATGGTGGTAATACTTGTGCACGCCTAATATATTTAAAAAAAAACATGAAATATCATTTACAAAAAAAAAACGATTTTAATAACTTACACATCATCAACTTGACAAAATGATATTGGATCTTTTTTCAAACAATTGACAAGAAGAAGTGGTGCATCACCAATTTTATAATCACCAAAAATAACTCGAACACCATCGAAATCAGTTGCTGTGACTTCAACATATATTGCTGGACGTTCTTCATCATCCATACGTAAAAGTGTTCGATGTTTTTGATTCATCATAAATGGACTTGATGAAACACGATTATGTGTATAACGAACACGCATTACACCTTCTTTGATATTATGTGGCCAAAATGGAATTATCTTAATTATATTCATACATAATAGAAAATTTATCAAAAACAAAAATTAATGACTTACTTGCTCAGGATTAAGCGGTCCCCATTTATCTTGTTCTTTGTCTGATACTGTTTCAACTACTTCAATTTCCATCTAAACAAATTATTTTTGTTTACGTAATGAACAAAAAAAAATGATTTTCTAAACATACTGTAGATTTATTAATAATAACGACTGATGGTGATAGTGTAACAATTTTAGTTAAACCAAATGAACATGTTACAATATCCACACAAACCTAGAAAAATAAAATTTCAATACATATTGTTTTTGTTTATATTTATATTTACCATATAAGTTCGATCATTTGGAACTTTGCATGATGCCATACCAGTACTTTTAATAACATCAAGTGAAAATTTTTCAGACCAATTTGTTGCATTATCTCCTTGTTCGGTACTATAAAGACGAAGTTGTCCCTATTTAAAATAATTAAATATTTTTTCTGATTTTCTTTGATAAATGATAATTACTTTTTTGTTTGCATCACTTCCAAATTTATCTGGACAAACTAAAAATGGTGTTTGAGCAACTTCAATAAATGCACGATTATTTTCAATCTAAAAAAAACAATAAAAATAAAAATTTTATATAAAATGTAAGGTGTATCTTACTTGAAATTCAAGTTGTAATTCAGTACGATTAAGAATCCAAAATGGTGAATAGAATAGTAAACGATATGATTCATGGAATGTATCAACACGTAATACCATTTTCTACATAGTTAAATTTTTATTCAATAGAATATTTAAATTTATTTTCTTACTAATATTTGTTGAGGATTATTAGAATTATGAAGTATGACAAGATGCTCGTTATGATCACCTTTTCCTTCAACATTTAAATCAACTGGATCAGATGTCCATTTTATATTATTATATGATGGAATCTAAATAATCGAGATTAATTTGCAGAAAAAAAGAAGAAGAAAATCATATACAATAAATCTTAATATAGATTGTTTATTGCCAGATGTAATGAGAGTTAATTCACTTGGTTTTAAATCAATTTGTTCGGCATTCTGAAATACAAGAATAGATATATATTATTTTTGATAGAAATCTAACAATAATTATAAGTTCGTATTATATCTTTAGGAGAATTAGGATAAAAACTAAATTCGATACACAGCGTGAATATATATCCATAATTTAACAAACAGTAGTCGAGTGAAATGTTTATAAGTTTTTAGCTAACACAGTTCGAGAGAAGGTACTGGTAACATTCCCGAATCTCTTCGTCTGTCATTTGATTTTATAAGCTTCGAAAATGATAAACTGTTGATATTATTACTGTATAAATCAGTTGCTGAAGAAACTATAGAATGCAAATACTGATACTTTTGCGACTGATAAATCTCTATAGTTTAATATTTCTATCATCCTATTTAAATAAATAAAATTTTTGATTTACATCAATTGAACATTGAATATCGACTGGTAAAAGATTAGTTAAATGAAGAGCTGGATGAATATAAAGACTAAAGCTTGCATGATCAAGTTGATCGGTATTTTCTGAATAAGCATTTGTTACTTCTTTAAAAACCTATAGATTACAAATAGAAATACATATACATATTTTTAAAAATTAAAAATCCATACAATAAAATTTGCTTCCTTTCCAGTTTTTAATTTTAATTTTCTTTCCGATAAAAATTCTTTTTCCCAATCAAACGAGAAAAAATCATAAATTTCACCATTATGTTCATTTCTATAATTAAATAAAATGAATATGAATTTATTTCTTTTACCTCTCTCCAATGCATCTTACTCATCAGTAGAAATAAATATTGGTGAACTTGAATGTGTATAAAGTAATTCAATTGGTACATAATATTCATCATTAATATCAATTTTTGCCATTCGATGATATTTTTTTGGATCAACTGAATCAATATTTAAAATAATCAATGGCATTGTTGTATTATTATAAACTTTAACAATTGAACTAAGAATAACACATCGACGATCATTTCGTACTTGTGTATCACAAAGCATTTGAACTGGCCAATTTGGATTTGGTGATGGACCTAATTCATAAACACGTTTCCATGTTCGATTGATAGTTACAGTTTTAACAACATCTCCAATCTAAGAAAATTAATTAAATATAAGATTTCAAGATTCCAGATACTGGAAAATAGTTTTATTTCAACTGCAAAGAATAATAGAATAGACGATTCTTCATAGAATTAGACACTTTTGAGCGTTATCATATTTATAGAAAGAATATTATATCTATACTTTTAATTATTTAAAGATTCAATTCGCAAGTATCTACTAAAGGTTTTCATCAAGCTATTTGAATTCGAGATATGCCTAGATTTTTTTTGAAATTTTATTTACTTTAACGCCAAATTCTTGTCGTCGTTTAAAATCTTGTTCTTCAATAACAGAAAGTCTCGCTGCTGATTGACGATCATTTGCTACAACCAATGGAACGAAACCATTTGGTTTTAAAGCTTTTGATGTTAGTGTCATATTTTCAGCAAACTATAAAAAAAGAATCAATGAAAAGAATGTTTTATTTTTTTTTCTTCATTTTTAAAAAATTTACTTCAAGACCATCTAAATTATCAATGAATATTTCTTTTCCAGTTCCATTAAATAATGATAACATTGGTTGATCATTATCTTCAGTAAATGGTAATCGTTTATTATAAACATCATTGAATAAAGCTGATAAACGTTGAACTAAATCAAGACCTGTTTTTGTTATTGTTAAATTAAGTAATTGATCGGCACGTATGAATACAATTTGTTTCGAAGTTGATGATGGTACACCTTCTTTTCGTTCTTGTTCATTTGATACTGCCGATCCACTTTTTTCAGTTAATGGTAATACCTTAAATATATAACAAGTTTATTTTTATTCAATGATTAGTTGATTGAATAAATATTAGTTAGTGTTAGTTTGGTATCTAGCATGCTGACAGATGAATCTATCACCAAATACAACGATAACATACATTATAGAGACTTTTTACCTGCTTTGTTTCTTCATCAATTATCTGTAAATTATGAAATCAATGAAAATATTTTTGTATATATTATTTTCAAATTAAAATTTATCTAAAGATTTTTTAATTGCAAAACTTCATTTTTATAATTCATCGTTTTGCTTACAAATTAAAGCGAATATCGATGATCAAAATTTGAATCTATTAATTAGGTCAAGTTCTTTGTGTAAAGTAAACTTATATTAAAATATCATTTGATTCTATTTATGAATATATTAATCGAATTATACACAAAATATAATTGTCTAGAGTGTATTGTAGGGCTCTCTCGTGAGACAAGATTGTTTCTTTAATGATATATTTCCATCTAGATTTCTCCAGTGACAGTTATGTATATACAATATCGTTTTTATAATAATCATAGAAAATAATTCATTCGAAAGACTTACAGGTACAATTGAACATGTGATACACCAAGGTGAAAGAACGGATCCACTTGCATCAATTGTTGGTTCAATGAGTGGTTCCCAAGCAAGCATACGTTCATTAAATAATGCAGCTTCAATATTAACAGTTGACGAAAGACTTAACTAAAATTTCGACAAAAGAAAAGGAACTAGAAAAGAAAATTCTATTAATCACATACATCTGTTGTCCAATTTTTAACATCAGCTGTTAAATTTGATAAACACATTGCAACAACAGATTTTGTTACTGAACCTAAACCAACTTCCAATTTAATTTGAATTGTCTCTAATGTTAAAATTAACTAAACAAAAACAAATGAAAAAAATAAATTTTCTTTTATATTAAAAATATTTCCTACCTGTTGTATTAAAAGAGTTTGTGTTTCAATTTTTTCTTCTTTTTCAATCATTTTATCTTCTTCTTCTTTAACAGCTTTTTGAATTGATGGTGTACCTGTAACCGTTTCTAATATATCAGTTGATTCAAGTTTAGCTTGTTTTTCTTCATATTCTATTATCACAATAAATTTTAATAGATCAATTCATATACAAAATGATTTAATAAAAACCTTTTATATACCAAAGACCTGAATCTTTAAATATTTTTGGAGTAAATAATGATTTTGAATTAACCTTTTCTTTTTCTTCTGCAACATCTGTCTAATAAAAATAAAATATAAATATAAATATAAATAATATTCTTTTGATTTATTTACTTTAAGTGTTCCTAATGAACTTGTAACACCAATTAATGTTTTAACTGCTGCTGGTGCAATACTAACAATAATATCGGATATTCGTACATCAATTTTTTGTTGTTCCTTATCCATAATTATAATAACATCAGCTTTAGCTGGTTGTAAAATCTTATTAAATAAGAAAACGATAAGATTTAATAAAATATTTTCTTATTTTATTTACGCGATATTTTATTTTCGAACCAGCATTTTTTGAATCTCTTAATTCTGCAAAATTTGAACTATAAACTGTTAGATCTTTTAACCATATATATAATTTTGAATCTTCACCAACACTAATCATACGCATTTGTAAAGCTAACTACAAAAAAAAATAGAATATAATTTTTTCTTTGTTGTTTTTATTCAATTTATAAACATACGTCCAGTACGAGACAATTCGAATTTGAATTATGTTGATCTTCAAGTAGAATAATTTCCGGATTTTTTACAATCACATCAATTCGTGTTTCGATCTCTGGATCAGCATTGGATGGAGTTGGTGGTTGAGGTGTAGAAGCTACAAAACAAAAAGTTAATATTTATATAAAAAAATAAAAGAAAAAACAATACGTTTTGATGATGGTGTTGGAAGTTTTTGTGCTGTAATTGAAGGTCGACTTGGTTTTGGGTCTACTTTCAATCGATTATTATCATTATCAGTTTTAGTTGAAATTTCTTTTTCAGATGTCATTGTTGATGTACGAGATCTTATTTCAGTATTACCAGTTGGTAAACCAGATATAAAAAAATCTTGTAATGTCATTAAATAATCCAAACTGATACATATATAAAGACTTTCCAGTTGAGCACTCACTAATAATTTTAAAAACTAAGAAAACAAATTTTTAAAATTTATTTATTTACATTGTCGAAGTGCCATTGAATTTGTTGGAGATTTTGGTTTAAATTCAAATGATGCAATAACCATTTGAGCATTTGGATCAACTGTAAAATGTCTATCCATCATACGTGTTACACTTGTTGCTTTATTTGTTTCACGTAAATCATCAACTAGAAAATTTTTAACACGTACCATTGCTTTATAACTTGAATCAGTTTGTTGACGAAATAATGCTTCTAATAATTCTATTTGGACATTAGCTAATTTGTAAGATTCATCACGCGGTGCCCGACGAACAGTCTAAGAGAAATTTTAAACTTATAACTTTCGAATCTCGTTATAATTAAGAGGTGAAATCTAAAGGTTTAAAAACAATCGTGAATATTTCTCTTACCAAATTTGATTCTCCCAAGTAAAGTGTCAATGCTAGTTTCTTAATTTCTGCTCGAATTTTAACTGTTTGTAAAACTTCACCACCATGAGCGTCTAGAAAAGAAAGAGAAATATTGTTTTTTTCCAATCGATATATTTTTTATTTCGAACCTTGTTGTCTTTTAATTACAGCATTTCTTAAAGCTTCTTCTTCTTTTTCTTGTTCTTCCTGTCTATAATGATATTGTTCAAGTTGTGCAGTTTCAGGTATTTGATCACGAATATTTTCCGTAAAATTTTCCATTAAGACTTTCATAACACATGAATAATCACCTTTAGCTAATCGAAACTATTAGAACAAAATTTTTCAATTTATATTAAAACAAATTGAAATCATAAAAACATACATGAACTAAATCCCATTCAACTTTAATTGAAACTCCAGGTTCATTTTTAACTTTTTCAGGATAAAGTAAACGATTAATTAATGTATTTAATTCGGCACATTCAAGTAAAATAATTTCACCAAGAATATTATTATCATGATTAAGTTTAACACGACTAGCAAGAACATTTTCTAATCGAACATTTTGTTGTTCAACAAGTGAACGTTTTGGATCATCGTAAAAACGTGTTAGTAATGTTAATTTACCCAAATCAAATAGTAAAGCTTCATCAGAATATGAATTTGTTGGAATAATTATATTTGGAGCATTAAATGTTATATCAAGATGAACTTTAAATGCTTGTTCTTGTAATTTTTGTACTTGTTCATAAGCAGCATCGGCTTGTGTTGATGCTAAATCTAGTGCAGCTTTGGTTATATTTAATGAATCAAGAAAATTCTTTAAATAGAAAAAACGAAAAAAATTAATTTATTTAAAAATTTTAAATAATTTTATTTACCAAAATAGCGTCGATATGTTTGAAAAGAAACACAATATTTGCTTTTGCAAATTGAACTTTAACATCACAATCGACGATATCAAGAGGTTTTACATATTCATCAGGATAATTAAATAAACATAAATCAACACGAAGTAATTCTTTATCATCACCTTGTTGAGAAATAATCTTTTAAAGAAAGAAATAAAAACAATTTTTTCTATTTCTTTAAATTTTATAAAGTTTATTTTACTTTTCGATATCGTGCACCTTCATATGGATCAAAAACACGTAGATCTGATAGAATTAAATTAATTAATGTCTTTTCTGGTGCCTGTGATACATCCGCTTTGACACCTGATTTATATAAAAAAGATTAATTTCGAAAATATATATTAATTAACTAAAATCAAACCTTGAACTTGTATATCAAATAATTGAGTTATTTTCGATGCAATTATTATTCGAAATTCTTCTAAATCAGCTTCAATTTTCAATGTTGGTGTTACTGGAACATCTATAAAAAGAGAAGTTAATAATTTCAATTTAATTTAACAATTAAGAAAATTTTCAATTCAAGTAGAAGAATTCAATCATTCATAGTATTTATCAGAGACCGAAAACGAGTCGAAGGAAACTGTCAGTATTCGTTTCATTCATCAAATAATATAAATATTATAAAATGAATCTTTAGCGTAGAAATAGATAGATAGCAGTCTGTTGACAAAGAAAGTTAACTCATAACAGTCGAATCTAAATCGATGTTTACTTATTCGTGTCGGTCTCTGGTATTTATACACTTATATAAAGCTACCAAAGAAGTAAGATCTATTGTCACGAGCAATCATATCTAATACAAAAATTGAGCGAGTTTATGAGCAATATTTTAGCAGCAAGACGATAGCTGTAAAACTTCAAACTACTTAACTTTTATTTTTATATTTAATTTATTACCAGTTTTTCATTATATTGATAATTCAGTAAAAGCTATTTATGTATAATATAATAGTTAGCATACTTTTAAAACGAGTACTGATTTGAAAAAAATGTTTCTTTGAACTTATTCTATGAATTTTCCCCTTGTATTTTTATAGAAAATTTTGATAATTATTATGAAACCGTTGAAAACATACGATTTACTCTTATAATGTTCAATCCATGATATATTTTACAAGTCTTTCTATTTCTATGAGATTTAATTTCATATTTATTCTTACCATTCTTTTTAACTACTTTTCCTGTAGTTGATACAGATCTTCCTATTGTTTTATTATCATCAGGTACTTTTAATTGTTGTTTTTTTGCTTCTTCTTCTTCTTCAGCTTTCTTTTTCATATCAATTTCAGGTGTATCTTTAGGTAATTTTTTCATTAAAGCATCTTGAAATCTTAATATTGATAAGAGTGCTTCTAATTGTAAAATCACAACAAGTTTTGTAAAATGAACATGAGCTTTATTTTCAATTCCATTATACATTGATGATGAAAATAACGGATTATCTGGTGATGTATGAAGAAAATTGACACTAACTAATTTTTTATTTTCATGAATTTCATTTCTATTTAATTCTGCTGATAATAAACGTAATTGTTGATTATCTTTACCAACAAATTGTTCATGATAAACAATTAAATCACCTAATGATGCATCAAATTCCATATCAAATGTTTTTATTTTTGTTTTAGCAAGAATAGATTCAAGTTTGATTTGAAGAAATGGTTCACCTTCATCATCATCATTTGAACTATTTAATGCTTCATCAATATGTAAAATAATCTTTTAATTAAATAATAAATTTTATTTAGTAATTCAAAAATAAAATATATTTACTTTATCAAGAGTAAATGTTGCTTCTAATTGTGTTAATTGTCCTTCGAAATCACTTTTCTTTGTTGTAAGTGCTTGTTTGGGAGTTTCTTCTTCAGAATTTTCGTCGTTATTTTCACTACCTTCGACTTTTTCTAAAGTTTTTTTAACTGGTGTCATTCCTTCAACTGTTTCATATGTTTGCTCAGGATTACTAAGTAATGATTGTGCAGTTGTTGCCTGAAATGAATGAAATATATTTATTTTCTATCGAAATAAAAATTTCAAAGCTAACTTCTGCTTCAAGTGTTGGTATTTCACTAATTGGATGTTTCGATTCCGGAAAAGGAATAGATTGAATATGATTAATAATATGAAAAAGACGTTTATCTGATAAACGTAATTCTACACCTGGAATATTTCCAGCCATTTTCCATCTAATAAAAATAAAAAATCAGAATCTCTTCGAATATTTTAAAATAAATTCATACGCAGGTAAAACAGCATCATCATGATAAATACATTTATCAACATCCATTTCAAGTTCCATTGGTTTAATTAAATGTAAACGAGTATTTTTTTCTTTTCGAGCATTTTCCCAACTTTCATCTTAAATATTCAAACAAAAACAAACTCAATATATTATTAATTCATTTAATTTAAATATTATTTTACTTCGATTAGCATAAATTAATTGAATATCTGTAAGTTTTAATTTAAATTGTGTATATGATAACTCTCGAACACCTTCAATATTCTATTTTTTTTTTGAAAAACAATAAATAGGAAAATTAGAAAATAATCAAAAATTATTTTACTGTGGGTGCATGAGATTCTTCATAATGATTTTCTTGATTTGTACCACGTTTTAATGTTAAATGACCTAAATCCATACAAATAGCTGCAACACCACTAAATAAACAAAGAAATATTCTTTATATTGTTTTTTATTTAAAAAAGAATTTTTACTCTTGATAAACTCCATTCTCCGGTAAAAGAAGATAAGATGATTGAATATCAATATAAATATCTAAAACTTTGATTTTTTCGATATTATGTTTCATTAATATAAATGAACGATGTTTAACATCTGTATAAGTTGAATATGCGACTTGTTTAACACTAAATTAAAAACATGAATTCGGTATAAATTTCTCAAAAATTATTTTTTTCATACCCTTGTAAATTTCGATCAGCATCAGGTTCAAAACATTCTGCTAATTTATTAATTGTTGGCTAAACAGATTATAAATTTCTTTTTTTATTCTAAATAAAGTTTTTATCCTTACAGCATTATATTTTATTTCTAATGATTGTGAAACAACTTTAACACGATAATCCGATTTTTTATCTAATGGATTTGTTTCAAATTCTACTTGTAAGAATTTTTGTTGATTAGTTGATGATAATGCTGATGGACGTACAAGTACAGGTCGACTATCATTTAATAATTCGGATTGACTCGAATTTGTTGCAATACCAAATACTTGAAATGAACCCAAATCAACATATATACTATACAGTAAGAATAAGAATCAAAATTTGGATGCTGTCATAAGTAAACAAAGAACATACGCAAGAGCATCGGTAGCTGGTCGTCGTTTGAATATTAAACTAGTATCAGGTATAACACCACGAGCAATAACTCGAAATCTATAATAAATAATATAATAATTCTAATAGGGCTTTATAGATAATCATACTGAGTATCATGTTCGTTAATTTTAGACCAAATATTAACATCAAGCATGTTTAATCGAATTGCTAAATCAATATCAACATACTAAAAACATATAGAATAATTATAAACAAAGAATTTTGATTTATTTATGAAACAAACTTCTTCTGGATAAGTTGATGTTGAAGTATCTTCACCAGCATAACCAATAGCTTCATATAATTTATTTTTCTCTTCTGGTGACATGACTTTTTCTAAATCAAGTTCTAAAAAATAATAATCAAAACAAAAATTGAAATTAGATAATAATATTTAAAAAAAAGTTGGAACCTGGATCATCAGTTGATTTACTTCCACCCCACCAATTCGATACACTTCCCCACCAAGTTTTAGGTTCTTGTTCTTTCTTTTTTCTTGCTTCAATTTCTGCACTTCGACGAATATATGTTAAATTAAAAACGTCAAGTTTTTTTTCTAATTCCTTAATTAAGCATAAGAACAATCGAAATATTTTAGATTTAGATTTAATAATAGAATTTTCTTACTTCTGCACGAGTTTTTTGTTCATGGGTTAGTTTTCCTATTAATTCTTGATAATGTAATGTACGATATTCTCTGCAACGATCTAAATGTGCTTTTATATTTTCCCATTTATAACAATCAAATCTTGGTCGAATTTCTTCATTAACAATTGCTTCATAAGCAAATTTCCAACTAAATATCAGAATAAATTTTTCTTCAAATAAATCAAAGCAAAATTATTTTTTACTTTCTTAATGTTTTCTTTTCTACTAATTCTTTTTTCACATGATATTTTATATATTTGGATTGAACACTAAGATAATCTTGAAATTCAAGAAGATCAAGTAAATCCGAATACTAGAAAAAATTTCAATAGGAATTTATATGTACGTTTTTGTTAAAAATGTTTTACTTGATCACGATTCATATTAAGACTAATTTCATCTAAATCAACTTTAATGTCAAACATAGGTCGTTTAAAATCTTCTTCACGTGGTTTCATTGCTAATACAAGTCGTGCTTTGACATTAAGTGGACGAAGAACTAAAATTATATTCTATTAAATAATAAAATATTCAAAAAAATCATACTGTATGAGATATCAGATGGTGCTTGTTGATTGTCAATAGCTATTTTTTCTTTTAAATTATTCTATAATTTAAAATACAAAGAGAAATATGAACGAAATATAAATAAATGAACTTACGATAGCATCATCTCTTGCTAAATCTGTTCGAGATTTCGCATTTGTATTCCAATAAATTGATAAAGCACTTAATTCACCAAGCTAAACATAATTATTCATTTTTATTATCATATATTTAAATAACTTTTATTTAATACAATGATCGGTAGACTTATCTCTAGATGAAATATGATATATTATATTAATCCTTTCAGTTTCATAGTCGAAAAAGAGCTACACAGATTTTACCCTTTCCTTATCGTTCAGAAGAAATAATTTCGCACTGAAAGAATTACTTTCGTCTTTAGCGCATTTAAAACTTCGATTTTGATCTTGATAAAATATAATAAATAATTATTAGTGTCGGTGATAATACACTTTGATGTCAGACTGAAATCTCGGCATTATTCTAGTCTAATTGGCTTAGAAACTGAGTGATTTGAATCTACAACAAACCATCTTTTTCTTCTTTCTGTCTTACATATGAAACAAACAAAAATTTCGAAAACAGACAGTTGCTCGCGGGGTTGGGTATGAGTGTGATTCAGTTTAAGTGTGAGTGTACTGCTTGACTCTATTCACTTAAATACTAGATTAGACATTACACGAGAATTTTAATTGCGTTCAGTTTAACGTCTCTATTTTTTTTACATTATGAATGAATTTAGTGCACGAACATTTTATGATTCATCAAAATTTGTGGCAATAAAAGAATTTTTGATTAATATCTTACTTTATGAATCAATGGTGTATCTTCTTTAAGTATAGTTGGTTCCCAATCTGGTGTTGTTGTCTATAAAATGAAATTGAATTTATACATGAGATAAAATCAATAAATCTAATGTATGTATATTACATGAAGTGATATATAATTAAGAGTTATTCCAAATGAAAATGGATGATTTGGTTTAGTTGATTTATCTTCATAAACAATATGAATATTTCGAATTGATAATTCCAAATTTCGAATAACTTGAAGTTGCATACGTTCAACAAAAGTATCGTTATTTTTATCATTTCCTTTGGCATTTTCTATTTATATATTCAATTAAATAAATAATTTAAATTTATTTTTGATATTACTTTCTGCTTCTTTTTCTTTTCGAAGTTCTTCAACTTTTCGAACCTCTTTCATTTTAGCTTCATGTTGTTCTTTCGCATCTCTTTGGGCATCATATTCGACTTCTAAAAATATTTAATCGACATGTAAATATAATAGACGAAAACAAATCAACGAACCAGTTTTTGGTACAACTAATAAATAAAGTCCATCGATTGTTGCTTTTGTTGGATGTGTATATAAATTTGTCCATGGAACTTGAAGTGTTAATTTTTCTAAATAAGAATAAAAATTATTTTTTTGAATAAAAATACACAAGATGACACATACGTAAATATCCAATTGATATAGTAACAGGAAGATTTAAATCCGCCTAAAAATTAAAACAAAAAAATTACTTTTGAATTTTAATCAATAAAATAATATTACCAATGCATTGGATTTTAGATACAAATTTTCAAGAACAACATTTCCTATGAATAATTAATAATTAACAAACGATGAAAATTTTCTTTGAGTATACTCACCATTCCATAAATCAATTTTAAGTTTTTTTGTATCTAAATTTTCGATATAATCACCCAAATATTTATCCAGTAGATAGACAACTAGATTTTCAAATACCATTTTGATTCCGTTTTAAAAACGGTGATATTAATCACCGAACAGATGACAGTTGAATATTTATCTGAAAATAATTTTTGTTTATTTAACTCAATGGTTTTATTTAAAATATCTAAGTTAGAATAGAAGGCTATTTTAGAACGTGTACTTAGCAAAATATGATTGAAACTAGCGCCACGAAGATAAAAACTATAGGATGATTCATCCGACGAGTAATAAATGCAATGTATAGCCATATGATCATCCAATTGACCAATTAATATAACGATTGATTCATAGATTTAAAAAATGTTAAATAATTAAATAAAATTGTTTAGAAAAGATTCTACAAATGATAATAAATCAAATAGAAAGTAAATTATACAATATAGACAACACATTTATGCACTTATTTTTATATTATCAATTAAGAGAATCTTATTAAACAGGAAAAGAATGATAATTTTAGACACTAATAAACTGTATAATTAATATTTAATTTGTTACATAAGGAAAAAAAATCTCAACATTATTTCATCTGAAAATATACATATTTTTTTTTATAAAGTTAAACAAATTCATTAATCTTTTTGATAATCAATTTTCTTTATATAAAATATCTTATTTGTTTGCAATCAATTGTTTTTCTTTTCTGTTTGTCATTCAAATAAAAAAAATGAATTAATATACAAAAGCATAAAAAGAAAAAACAAATAAATCATGTCTTATTCACAAAAACATGTCAGAACTGAAAGTATTTGGTCGTATTTTAATTGAACATGATTTTAATGAATAATTTCCACCTAACCAACCACTCCAAAAAATTCCTGTAGCTGATGTATCATTTCCACGTATATAAAGTCCATTTAAATTTACTACCGTACAATCTTTATGCCACCAACCACTAAAAAAATTCTCTGCACATTGTTTAGTTGATGAAACATCATTATCTTGATCACGTGTTGTAAAACGCATACCACGAGCATGAGAAAATGAATCGCCAGCATTTGACGTTTTCACATAATCACCTACATTTAATGTATATTTTGTTTGTTCATTAGTAATAAAAAACCATTCATATTCAGCAAAACGTGTTTGATTATTAAAATCTTCTAAATCAAAATGAATACGATATTCATCTTGTTCTCCTATTAAATAAATTTTTTCATTTCCAAGATAAAAATCACGTGTAAGATCACCAAAACCACGTTTATATGTTGACCATGTTTGATAAAAATTTGTTTGTGGATAATAATCACCACGATGTTGAATAACTGTCCATCCACCACCATCTGTATCCATATCGCATAAAACTCGAAATGGTTTTGGACTTGTACGAGGCCTTTTAATAAATAACAATCAAATTTTTTCTTTTCATTTTACATTTCTTACCAAATTTCATAAATTCCAGTTGTACGTTTTCCAGATGCATATACTTCACTACAATCAGCATATGCATATTCACGCCCACAAGCTCCTAAACGTGTACATGCTCCACCAGCATAATTTGTTGGTAAATCTCCATTATTAGAATTTCTATTTATTGATGTTGATGGTGTTGAACTTGTTGGAGTATTACCATTTGCATTTGGCATGGGAGATGGTGGAAAAGATGGTGAAATCATTATTTGACCAGGAGTAGGTGAAGTAGAACCTGACGTAGTTGTAGTACCAATTTCTATTCGAATAAAAATCGTCAATGATCAAAAATAAAGAAAAAGTTAGAGTTTTTTTTTAATGAAATATTTACCTCCCGGTGCACCGATTGAAGTAGAACCTGGAATTGTTTCACATTGATCTTCACATGCAAATCCCGTAAGAGTACAAGTACATACTATATAAATCATAATAAATTATTAGAATATTTAAAAAAGAATTAATTTTACCTTTGCATGGATTTGTACCCAAACGAATTCTACCATTAAGAGGAATTTCAACTATTAAATATAATAGTATACATATATTTAAAATTATTTTTAATAATTATTTACTTCGTCCTTCATCCATTTTACACATTGGTTCATCATTTACTTTTCCATTAGCAATTAAACCATTATCTAAATAAATTATATATATATATGTAAATGAGACTAAATTTATTCATATTTTTTCTCAACATACTTAATCCATTTTCATTCGATGCAGGTGCGGTATTTGCATAATAAATGATCAAATAAAAAGAGAATAAAAGTGAGAATACACTCATATTTGTTATAAAAGCAATATAGACGATAGTATGAAAGATTAAGAAGAATAAATATATCTTGTATTTGTGATAAGAGATAGATGATATAATGGATCACAAGGGCATTTCCTTAAACATAAATATAGTCGTAAAAGCAGAGATGACACAAAAAAACTGCTGTTGATTAATGGTATATGTGACTGCACGCGCCTTAGTCAAAAGGTCGAGGCCAATATACGTAGAAATCCTATTAATGACAAAATTCCTAATATCGTCAGAAATAGCGATGCCTCGATAATAACGAAGGAAAAACGAACAAATGCGAATTATATGTCTGGAATAGACTATTACAAAACAAGAAAACATTCTGTATTAGTGTATCTAGGGATAGAAAATGACACATTTCATGATATGAATAGACAAATGTTCTTTTTCTAGATACTATCTTTTAAGGATAAATTAACAAAGCATAAGATATTAGCATTTAATAGACAATAATAACCATTCTGACCTTAGAGTTTGTTTTTATTTTCCAGTATTTCATATAATGAACTCGTGTGTAGCAAAAAGGATTTTTCTAGATTTCTATGTAAACAAACTAATTATATATATTTTCTGTAACAAAAAAACAATTTTATTAAATAAAAAAAAGAAGTAATATATATAATGAAAATCTACAGAAACGATTTAATTATCGGCAATTTGAATAACTGCTTTGCCAAAATTTTTACCTTTAAAAATACCAACAATAGCTTTAGGAGCATGTTCTAAACCTTTAGTAACGTCTTCTTTAACTTTTAATTCACCATTAGCAATCCATTTAGGAATTTTGGAATAAAATTCTTTATTAAAATGTTCATCATTGTTTTTATCAAGAATTATAAAACCTTCAAGTTTAAGTCGTTTAGTAACGACTAAAACAAGATTACGAATTCCATGTGTATTAGATGTATCATATAGTGAAATCATTCCACATTCAATAAATCGAGCAAAATTATCTGCAGCATCAAGTGCAGCTTCCAGTTGATCACCACCAACATTATCAAAATAAATATTGAGTGGATTAAATCGAGCAAGTTCAACTTTAATATTTGCTGTTTTATAATTAAATGCATGATCAAAACGTAATTCTTTTTGAAGCCATTGTACTTTATCATCAGTACCTGCTGATCCAATTACTGTAAGACCTTCACGTTTAGCTTTAAAAAGAAATGGTAAGTTAAAAATGAATGAATATAAAAAAAGATTTTTCTCTACTCATAAGAAGAGAAAAACAATATATGTAGATAGAGATTAACTTACCAAATTGCCCAACTAATTGACCAACAGCGCCAGATGCTCCTGTAATAAAAATTGTTTCACCTTTTTTAGGTTGTCCAATGTGGTATAAGCCATAGAAAGCTGTTTGTCCAGTCATTCCAGCAGCTCCTACCCATGTCGTTAGAGGTAAATCAAGTTTAAGTTCTTCATCACTTAAAATACGAAGTGTTTCAGCTTGATCTTTAAAATGAACTGTATATTCTTCATAACCTCCATTTCCATAGACAAATTGACCCACTTTATATTTATTATTATTTGATTTAATAATTTTACCCACAATAAAATTAGTTAATGGTTGATTGAGTTTAAATGGTGGTAAATAACTTTTTAGATCAGCTGCTCGCATACGACGTCTCATATATGGATCAATAGATACAACAAGATTTTTAGTAATAACTCCACCCTGTGTATTAATTGTATTCAAATCAATTGTTCGATCTTCAATATATTTTATATGTTTATCAGCTTGAAGTTCACCAGAAGGAACTTCAGCAAAGATAACAGCAGCATTTCGAATAGGACCTATATTTTTTGTAAAGAATCTTTTTATATTGTGTCGAATAGATGTATATGAATACATGTAATGATAATGTGCATCTTTATATAATAAATTAAAGACATTCTTTGTTACGAAGGACATGATTCAGAGTTCCCACTGTAAAAGATATCAATTTATATACTCTTATAAAACTATTTTAAAGTAAATGCACCAATCAAAATTTCAATTTTGTTTTGTGTGATATTACGATTGAATCAAATATAGCGACACTTCATTCTGAATTATGATTGACTCATTAAATTTTAAAGAAAAAGTTATATTAATATCGTATTAAATCTACAATAGACAATCTACTAATTGATTTCGAAGATTCATTTATAATAATTTCTATATAAAATTCTTGTTAACTAGATCGATAAGAAAGAAAAATTTGTATATCAAAATTTCTCGTCTATATATTTTATTTCTTATTTTCTTTCCTTTAGTATCATTTCTATCAGAATGAGAAATACTCTAGTATAATTATACGATTTAACCGTTAAAGATCAAAAAATTTATGGTTTATAAATCGAATATTTATGACTATGTTATTACAATAACAAATGATCTTCATCTGCTATTCGATTGAGAAAAAAAGAACAATGCGTAAATTTATATTTATTTCAAAAAGAAGAGTATGAATAATAAAATCAAATGAAAATAAAAAAAAAATAAACACACTAGATATACTAACTGAATTAATCTTATAAATTATTCTATTAAATCAATGATTATATGATGTTTTAGATCTTTATCTGTATTTTAAAATCTTATAAATCAATCATTGATGTTCTCTTTTCATCATATGTAATTATTATTATTGAAAAATTAAAACTATTGATAGAAATAGAATAAGAAATATTTGTTCGGGTTTAATACGATTAGATAATGTTGATGAATGATGACCACCTTCACCTTCTTCTTCGCCACCACTTTCATGTTGTTCAGGTTGAAAATTAGCAAGAACTTTACGTGAATGTAATTTTTGTGGAGGTCGAAAATTAAATGGAACAACATTATCCATGAATGCTCGAAGTTGATATGAAGAAATAGGTATAGTTCGTGCTAATATTGTCCATATAACACCTTCCGTGCATGGTGGAGTAGTTAAAGAACCATTATAACGATAGAAACGTGGCGATGGTGATGTAGGAAAAAGGCGAGATAAATCTATTTGTCGTTCAATTGCTACTGATGTATTAACAGTACGATTGACAATGGATAATAGATCATTTAAATATGGATTATCATCACGTTGACGATCAAAAATAATACCAAGAACAGCTAGTGTACCTGTAAATTGTGCTCGATGTACAAAATGTATTTCAAGAGGATATTTATGTCCATTGATTGTATGTTCAGAACCTTGAAATGCATTATAACCCCAATGCAAATGAAATTGTACTAAATGAAAAACATCTGGTAGACCACCTCCACTCATTGATAAACGAGCTAATGGTGATGGATAAGCTATAATTGCATGTCCATTATGTGTAAAATTCCATACATATGAGGACATGTTAGATGTATATCCATTGAGAGAAAGTGGAGTCAATTTTGAATCATATTTAACATGGGATGTTTGAATATCTATTGGTGATTGAGATTCACCTTCACATGTATCATATGTATGAGCCCATGTATCAGGTCCTTCTCGTCCATAGTCCCAATGATGTATTGGTAAACTAGGAGTTTGACAATAAGAAGAATGTAGGAATGATAATAGAAATAGAAACTGACATGTGAATATCCAAAACATCGTTTTAATACTAAATGAGAATTATGATTTGGTAATGTTACTTTCACTCGTACATGAAAGAATAGCAATCAGTAAAAATCAATGATAGAATATGTTAAACGATTTATCTATACGTCTTTTTGTCCAAAACATATTTAAATGCCGTCATCATTAAATGCCATTTTAAGTCATCCATGAAATGGCATTGTGCGCATTACAATTTTTCTTGTCTTTTACTTGTCTCAAGGCAAAGATGCGAACTTGTTTATATGCAAGATGAAGGTCTTTATATTTTTCGATTCAAAAAAAACTGTATACATTTACTACATGAAATATCATATATAGAAAGACAAACGAATAAAAAGAACTGAAATTTTTCTTTGTGTTGTTATAAACTTATTAACAAATGTACAAATTCGATTAAAACTATGTGAATATTAAAAGTTAATTTATCTAATTATTTTCATGGGTTTGTATAATACTAGCAATCTATTTTTATACAATCATATTTATGTTATTTTTCGTTAAATATTTGTTTGTTTATAATAGCAAGAAAACTTTTTCTATTTATTGTTATTGTTACCCTTTTTTCTTGTTATTTATGCAATACGTCTGGATCTATTTGATTATCAATAAAAGATCTTTTCAATTATTCCATGCATAATTGAGAATTTATAATTAAAGGGTTTGTTCTTATTTATAGTAGATTTACATCAATCATAACACAATACATGAATAACTCTATTAACATACATATTTATAGTAAAGTAGCTATTACTAAAAGATAAGAGAGGAAATCAAATTATATATATTTTTATTCGGACCGATTTCTAAAGCGTTATATGATTATAAATAGTTTGAATAAAATACATTCATCCCTTTTGTTTTTACATGATTGGTTCAATTTTTCACTAGAGCAAGCTAAGATTTTCGAATTTCTTATATGAAAAGTTTGAATACTCGAATTAACATTTGAACGAACAAACTTTATCTTGAGATATTTGAAACTATTTACTAATAAAGATACTTGATGTATCGAAATAGTTCTTCAGTTGCATTAGAATCTAAATAAATAAATTTGCTTATAAGTATTACATTGTATTCTATCACTTATTGTTGATATTAAACAAAATTGCCGTACTAATCACGATACTTCATCAATATTATCATTTTTCAAATACAAACACATGTCAATGATAACAAGATAATATTATTCAGTTTTTATATATTTCTAAAGATGAATATAATTTTTTTTGATAATTTATATTGGAGAAATATTTAATCAATATATAATTATTGAAAATTGAGCAATGTCACTTGAAGTTTGGGAGATCATGAAGTATATGACTGCGTACTAGTTATTCATTAAACATATTATACAACTAGTAGAGGTGTGTTTACTTTACCTTGATTCATATTTTCGATAATAACTATAGTCATGGCTTATATCTATTTGTTTTTGCTATTATATTGTCAAAATTGGTTAAATATATAACGTATTATATTATGAATGACGTCAATTGTATCTCTCACAATAAAAACTAATAAATCGACATATTATTGTCACGTGCATTATATATCTATGATTCTTTTTATATGTCCCACGCAAAAAAAAAGAAAAGAAGATTGATATTTATTTAAATATATAATTTGTCCCATGAGTCAAATGTTTTCGGAACAATGATTCAAGTTTTGAATATGGAATTTTTCTTTTAATTATGAGAAATGTTTTATCAGTATTGTTAAAAGTCATCTCAAAAAATAATAATTATTCAACAAACAAAAAACAGATATTAATTCATTCGAATCGAAATATGCTCGAATAAATCTAAGAAAAAAAAATCTGTATTGTGGTTTTTTTTCTTCTATGTAATTTAACGTTCATTTTCGAATCGTTGTCACCATATTAATAAATACAAAAAGAATATTTGTTTTTTTTCTATATACACACACACACACACACACACCAAAAAACGATGTTTTTAATTCGAAACTAAACTTGATTTTAGTTCATCAATTATATCCTGTAAAATCATTATTAAATTATCTAAACCAATTAGATAACCATCTTCATGTGTACCACGTATCCACGGTTTGGAATGCGTTATTTGAAAATCGTTCGGTAATTTTCGAGTTTTACCAAAATCGATCATCCATAATGATGCTCGAGTATTATCATGAACAAATAATAGAGATGAACCAATTAACTTTAAAAATTAAAAAGAAAAAAGAATATGATGTATTTTATTTTATAAAACAAACCTCATGAGTTTGAAAGAATTTTGAACGAAGACATGTTGAACGTAAATCGATTAAACGTTTCTGATATCGAGTCTAATAAATCAAAATAAATTAAATTTGGAAGAAGGAGGAAGAAAAATGTTTATTTACAGCACGTGATAGTGAATTAGCAATAAAATCTGTTAATTGTTGTCGTACATCATTTCGATCTTTAATTCGTTGAAAATCTTTTGACATTAAACCACGAGATTTCTATATAGAATAATTTTTCAATGTAAAAAAGCAAAAAGAAATTTCTTCTCAATACTTTAATTCCTTCTATACGAAATCCTAATTCTTGACTTGAACTTAAAGTTTCACGCCAAATCATATAACGTGGTTTAAGAATTTTTTTCTCTTCATTTTCTTTTTCAGTTGGCGCTGTTGGATCAATAGCAATCATTTTTTCATACAGATCCTGAAATAAGTATATCAAATATTCATTTGACAAGATTATTTTTCTCTTTTACCGCTCTAGGTACTGGATCACTTTCTGATTTTGCAAGATCTTCTTCTAGATAGGTTCGTACACCTATTTTACAATCCATTATACATGGTTCATGAAATGAAGCTAATAAATCTTCCATTTCAATATAAGCTTAAAATAATAAATAAATAGAATAAGTCAAATTTATTTCTATTATCCCTTACATTTTCCTTCGTCATCTGTTACAGTTCCATTATATTTTGGTACAAAACTTTTTAAAATATCAGTTTGTAAGACTTCACAACAGTATCGTTCATGTTTACATAATTCTTTTAATACATAACCATCATGAAAACCTTCTTTGAATGTTCCTGTAAAAACAAATTTAGATAATTAATAAGATTAAACATACACTAATTTTACCAGGATGACCGACTAGTTGTATCCATTCATATCGTCCTTTTTTTGTTCGTGTAAATGTAAGTACAGAAGTAACAACTTTTGAAAAAGCTTTCCATCTTGGAGTACTCTAAAAAAAATATTTATCAAAGATAAAAATAAAATAAAATATTTTTTTAAAATTACTATTCGAACTCGTTCTTCAAAATATTTCGGATCCACCGGTGATGATGCAGCAGATCTTAATTCGTCATTATTTAATCCTTGCCATAGACCAAGTAAAGTATTTTTTAATGATTTATTAGATCGTGTTGGAGAAGAACTTGGTGATCGTCGTTGATTAGATTGTACTGGTACAGATAAATACTCTTTTGAAGTTTCGGATATAGATGATGTTGTTGGATTATTATTATTATCTAATATTAATTTAGAATTTTCGGGTGATATATGAAGTTGATCATGTTTTGTCGGTATTGGTGATGATTGAGTAGCTACATCACGTAAAGTTTTAGGATTTTTAAAAGCTGATTGTTGACGGGTAGAATTCACACCGGATGAAAGACTAAATCTTAAGCTATTTGGAGGTGATCGAGCACGAGAAGTTAATGTTATTCGATCGGTTGCTGAATTAACACGCATTTTTGTTGCAGCTGAAGCTGTAGATGTAACTGTAGGTACGCTAAGTTGTACGGCAGCGTCAAAAAGGGCATTTCGAACAGAATTACTGTTGTTATCATCGGACGAATACATTATTTATCTTAAAAGAAATGAAAAAAAAAGAAAGAATAAGGTCATCATTTTTATTGTGAATAATAGCACCTGTATGAAAATCAAACCTGATTGAAATTTGTATATAGACTTGCATCTCGAAGACAAACAAAAACACCATACAATATAGTACACCAACGCTTTCTTCATTTTTCTCTTTTTTTTTCTCTTTCGTTTCACACACACACAATATATATATATATATATACGTACACTCTGTTCGATTGGCTAATGAGTGATAGAACGAATGACTCCAGTCTCCTTTTTCCCCTTTCGTTTTTTTCCTGACTCTGTGTCTATACTTATATACAATCATTCGTAATAAATTCAATATTGTTTTTTGATTCACCATTTTACACATTTTAATCGTTTGTTGGACGGTTTTTCTTTCTCGTTTTTTTGTGTTTCGTCTCATTCTTGTAATATTGAAGCAACAGCTGTAGCAAAGTAATAATGATAATATTGTAAACAAGGACTCTTCATGAAATAATAGGAGAAGAAAGGAAAAAGAAGCAAAAATGTTATTAAACTAACATAATTCAATAAAAACTATTTCTATTAAAAGAAATAAATAGAATAATCGATCAATTAACCTAATTTTTATATTATCTGTGTTAAACAATTCATTCATGATATTCTTCTTGAATGAAAAAGATACTCTGATGGTTTTTTTCTCTCTATAAAATCTATGTTTAAAACAGTTATATTTTCAGTACAAGTAATAAAAAATAATTTAATACTTTACCTGACAAATGAAGAAAATTTATTATTATCTATAGATAATTTACTGGGTAATAAAAATAAAAGAGAAACATATATTTTCTTTCTATCTACAATATTGATTTATTTCAAATTTTGAAATACTACAATAATCTTTAGTCATAAGAAAAAGAATCATTTGCGTATATAGATGACAATATTTCTGTAAGATAATACACGAATAGATTTACGTCATTGCATTGTGTTTATCATTTTAATGTGTCACTTTTTCAATATAAGACAAAAAAAACCTATTATTAATAGGTTATAATAAATAGTACATGACCACTGTGTAGGAGTCATAGATTATAGTAACAAAGAAAATTTATTTTGGTAAATCGTTTTATTAATCCTGTTAAAATATTTTTTATACTAAATAAATAATGAAAGTTATATAAATCGATTGTATGTAAATGATGTAGACTTTAATAAATGAATAAACATGATATTTATTGGTTTTTGCTTTTTACTATCAATATCATGTTACAAGGATTAGTTATAGTAAAATTGTATGTCATGTAGTTTTACAAAAGAAGAACGATAAATATGAATCATCAATGTTATTCTCTTTGTTTGTTTTATTGAACTACTGTTGGTTAGAAAAGTATATATATGACTAATAGTTTATGTTTATTTAACATTTAATGGAAAATATTGTGAATTTCGAATGCTTGTTTTGACAGGAAGAAAAAATATTTTGAGGTAAAGAATGATAAAATGTTGCGGTTCTAACTGAATTATTTAGAATATAGAGAATATCAATTAGATTAATTTTTTATTAAAAATATTTGAATTATATGATTAACTTATATTTACGATTGTTTATCCCATGTAAAAATGGTTCGCTAAATTAAAATTTAACGAATCATTTTTATATGGCATAAGTCATAATATTTTTTATAAATTGTTGTTGATTATCGGTACTAATCAATTACATAATATTTATAGACAAAGGTCATATTTGTTAGACAAAACTTTATATTCTAACTCATCAAGCGAAAATACCAAATCTAAAATAAAAATGAGTCGATCTTCTCCATTTGATATATTTGCTCAAGTTGAAATAGTTCTTGTAGCTCTAAATATACGCATTATTATAATTAATGACTATAGATACGCACATATTTTTAGCAACATTCATATCGGCTAATCAAGGTATGCTACCTATTCTTTTATTATCGTTGTTGAATCTCCATTACAACTTGAACAAAACAAGTTGATTTCGTTACCGGTGGTAGAGGCATGTTCAAGGTTTATATTCATGAGGGCAAGCCTAGAAAGATCCTTCATTAAATGTCACAGTAGCCTCAACAAAAAAATTTATTTATTCATAGATAAGGGAAAAACACTATACAAGATGATGCAAAATTCACTTGAGCAAAACAAAAATTGAATATTTCCATTACGTCTCGATTCAACGAGCCAATGTTTTTTTATCAATAACAGGGATATGTTTAAGGTTTATATCCATAAAGACACGCCTATAAAGACCTTTTGCTAAGTATATTATTCTTTTCTTCTATTTATAAATAAGTAAAAATGTTTTGTTGAGACTACTGGTGACATTTAACAAAAGATATTTCTAGATTTGTCCTTATAAATATGAACTTCGAACATGCCTCTGCCCTTGGTAAAAGAAATATCCGCTCGTTTACTCAAGACATGATGGAGATATTCAATTTTTTTCCTTGATAAAGTGGCTTTTGGGTCACAAAAAACTAAGCGACCTTCAAGTTCTTTCTAATAATATTTTATATCATAGACAATAACTTCTTGAAAAGTTGAAGGGACTCTTTAATAAAGAAATTCAGACATAATAATACATCGTTTAGATCATAATGACCATGTATAAAAATAATATTCTGTAATTTTGTTGTTATAAAATGAATTTTATTTTTGAATAAAAATAGAAAAGAACGCGTTAATTAAATAACATATTCATATTATTAAATCGATTGAATTTCGTGAGTATATGCTTTGTGTCAAAGAGAATTGAAGATTATTATAGAATAGTTATATTTGAAAGATTGTTCAGTTGATTATATACGATATAAATGATTAAATAGAAAAGAAAAACCTTTGTATGTTGTGTTATTAGTTTATTTAAATTTTTTTTCTAAACTGACAGAAATTATTCTTCAATATTTGTCAAGAAAGGAAAATTGTAAAATTGTCAATCTACTATTTATATATATTGGGACATCTTTATGTCAATTACCAGTTTTCTAATAGTAACTGTCAGAATTTGTCAGAAAATATTTAATATTGATAGTAAGTACTGTGAAAAGTTATGTTGACTTAAAATTATTATCTTTTCCGTCTATTTCGTCTCTCGGGATAAGTTGAATGATTAAATAGAAAATATATTTAAACTGTTAAATGAATCAGTTGATGCTGTCAGGAGAAATATGATAATTTTATTTGACATTTTCTCGAACAAGCTATCTCTTCAAATATTTCAATTAATCATAAGCGTGTAAATTCTAATAAATATTTTATTATTTCATGTCTATCATGTTTTATTTTACTGACATAATCATTTCAAGGACATTTATATATAAACTAGTTTAATATATTAAAGATTAATGAAGAAAACGTGTTTATCACAGAAAATAACTGTAATTAACAGATTTTTTGTTCTCGTAACTAGTTGATATCAGACGAAATAATGATAAAAATGCATATTTTTTATTATTATCTAGATTGACGAAAATAACTATGAATGATGACAGAAAGATTGACAATTATAAAGCAGATTTCTGAAAGGTTTATTAATTATCTAGTACAATATTATTGAAGATATATAGTAGAATTTATATAAAAAAAAACTAGATATTATATAGAATTTCGATAAAGCTAATCTTCAACATGTTATAATATTCGATTTAGTTAAACAGTAGGATTCTATCTAAATAATCTCGTTTATCCATCTGGTATACTGATTGTTTATTTATCTTTCTATATACATCAAACAATCATATAGAAGACATATGAGTATAGTTTAGAACTTTTACAGTCAATGATACTATTATTATTATAAGATAAGAATATTATCGATGAAATTTCTATCTGTATCAAATCGAAATAAAAATATACTTATGTACAAAGATCAATTATATTTTTTCTATTATATAATTAACACAATTTATTCATTGAAAAATATGAATCAAGCCAATTATTGAATTACTATTATGTTTAATAATATATTTGAATTTTTATTTTCATATAATCGAAAAACTTTTCAGATAAAATAAAAAAAATTAGAAATTATTTTTTTTCTTTATAAATGACTTTCTTTATCCTGGAAGATTTTATTTAAATATATGATATGACTGACAGATCATTTGGTATCGAAAGAATACTTTGTTCTATATGCAAAAGATATTGATATGTGTTGAAATCTGATCATAATATGATATACTCGTCTGAATTAACATGTATCTATTTGTCAATCAGATATCAGCAAATCGTCAATTTTTTTATCATTATATAAATGTATCAATATTTCTTATATAATTATCGATGAATCAATGCATCATTAACCACAAGAGTATATTAGTGAGATTCTTATAAGAAAAAGAAATTTATAGACAATAATAATATTTGATTAAATCTTCATAGTTTTTCTTTCTGCTACTTTTTGTTTTACATATCAGATAGATATCCATAAAGAATAAGAGATAGATTCTCTTTTTATCATTCCGTCCCATCGAATGTCATCATTAAATTGATTTCGAGTAAATAACTTTTCCCATAATACTCTAGACTAGTAAATGTCGATATGGAAGTATGTTGCTCATGCTTCATTGAATAAAGAGAAAACACAAGACAGACATTCGAGCCGTTTTTTTTATCGTCAGGAAGATACAATAAGAACATCGATTTTTAGTAAGTACTGAGTCTCATGTAGAAAATTAAAAAAAAACTTTTTTCGTTTATATCCAAAAATAAGATCGATTTGCCAACAAATAGAAACATGCAATTTTATCTAGAAAAATTCTTGAGTCTATTGAGAATTAATATTATTTATCGATTGTCAGATGTTTCTGCATATTTGACCTGTACTAGTAAACAGACTGAAGTAATACACTTAATAGTCTTTCTATCCAAATAATATATATATATACATTCAATTCATGTATCTAAATATCGCAAGTGAACACGTGATAATCAGTTCTGTTTAAATAAAACAATGTATAATCGATTGAAATGATGAATATTTTATTTTTGTATATTAAATAATTATTAAAGCAAGAACGACATCCTTTATTAGTAATCTAATTTTGAGTCTTTTCTTCGTCTCGAAACTATAATGACAAGAACGATGAATCAAATTTCATTTACATAAACGTGTTTATATTATATAGATAAAGATATTTTCTTTAATATCTTTGCATATTTAAATTGATCGTTATATCTCATGAGATTTGTCAATAATCTTCTATTAAACTTTGAAAATTGTCTAATAAAACAAAACAGGATATTTATCATAAACTTCCCATTGTCTGTATATTATTAGCATATTGATAAAATGTGATCCAATAACTGAATAAGAATGAAAAAAAAGAAATTCTTTTTCTTATTGAGACACAAAACAGATCTGTCAGGATACGAATGATGACGATAGAATCTTTAGATTCTGTTTATGGGGTAAAATGTCAAGGCATCATATATATAAACAGATATATAGAGAAGAGAAAAAAGAATCTTCTTTAGTATAAGTCTTTTCAACTAATATCAAAGATAAATGAATAAATAGAAAGAGAAAATATTATTATAAATAAAGAAAAACAGATCTATGCTTTTTTTGTAATTTTCATTATTATTGTTTTGCAAAAAAAAAATCTAGATTAATAATAATATTAATATTATTTTACATCTTTCCATTTTATCTATATTCTTCAGTTTGACAGACAACATTGAGAAGTTTTCTTCTTTTTTTTTTAAGTACTCAATGAGTGGCAATTTCTATCTTTTTGCTTTTGTTTTTTTTATTACGAGATTCGGATCATAATGGTGTATATATAGAGAAAGAAAATGATTTCGAATATTGCTTGTTTTTCTCATCGTTCTTTGTCATCTCTTTCTTTTGTTCCTATTTTAGCTGTTACAGTTGATGATTAGATGCATTCTATCTTTATGCGCTAAACATAAGAAGTACGAGAAGAACAAAAAAACTGAAGAGTGAAGCGAAGAAGATGATTAGAGAAGAAAGAACTTTGGATGGTCTTTCATTAATAGTCATTCTTTAGTCTAATAAATAGAAATAAGAGATTAAAGACGTGTAGTGCCTTTAAGCTTTGAAGAACAAGACCCCATCAATGATAGACATCCGATGTAGAAGAACTAGAAAGCTGTATAAAAGCAAGGAAAAAGTGTCACTAGTTCATTAATGCGAAATATCTATATTTGTGACAAAATCTCAATGGTGATCCCTCGTTCTCTTTTCACTTACTCGAATTATCCTCTTCATATATGTTGTGTAATATCATTAGAGGTAATTGACATTAAGAACAAAAGAAAGACGAAGAAATCCTAGAAAAAAAACAGTTACATTAAGGCTAACTAGACTATGCTATTGTATTCATGACAAAAAAACTCGATCAATAGGAGTAAGAAAAAAAACAAGAAGCAAGTAAGAAAAGATTTCCTTCCGATTTTATATTATAGTTCGCATTTCATATTTTATCAAAAACAAACCGTCGGCAAAAACATTGTAGTGACCAATCAAGTCTAACTGAATTTTTACTTTACTGTATACATTTAACTTCTATATTTAGAATAGAAAAAGAAAAGTACTTGGCAAATCATAAATGTCCTTCCCTTACTTATAGAATTTATTGAACAATACTTGAATTTCCCTCTTTTTTTGATTTAAAAAAATTTATTATTGTATATCATATATAGATTTCTAAAGATTTTCTTTTTTTCTTCAAATTATATGACACGTCATTATAATAGTCAAGCAGAAAAGAACATTGTGATACATCAAATATCATATTTAATCATGATAAATGTCACCTTTTATTATTTTTTTTCCTTTAAGCATATCTTCAATATTTAGATTTTGCTTTTTTTGGAAAAAGCAATTAGACTAGACGAAGGTAAAAAAACTAAATATAGAATATTTTACTTTCTTAAGACGATAAAAAGCACTTTATAATTGAACAAGTTTGTTTTTTGTTATGCTTATTCTCTCTTTAACTATCCATTTAAAGATTTGTTATTATTACTGTTATCAAATTTGATGATCATTTACTATTTTGGCTTTGTTGTCATTATATTTTCGCTTCATTTCATCTTTTGATTATTAATATCAACAGATTTATTTTTATTTAGAGAGAGAGAAAGAACTAGATAAGACAAGTTTTTGCTTTTGACAACATAATCGTGCGACTAATTATGTGTCAACTATGTTTTTTTAATCTAGAAGTGTCTTGTTGTTTGTTATTATTATCGTTAATTCTTATAGGTTTCTTTTTGTTTTCTGAGTGATTTTTTTTCAGAAGTATGAAGAAAAAATGTGAATAGGAATTAATTATCACATATGTTTTTTCCTTAACTCTCTCTCTTTCTCTATTCTGGTGTGAATAACTTGAGGGTTCGCGACGTCATAGGAAATAGAATAAGCATATAGACAAATAAATAATCGCGATCGAAGTATAGTTATTTCTCTTTATATAGTATATATGCGGGGGTCTTATTTATGTCTGATTCTTGTTCATTGAATATAACTGATTATATATATATGACACTTTTATATAAGACGTAATTGACCATATGAGTTTATCTAGATGAATATCTCACGAGAATTACATATACGATTGTTTATCAATAGTTACTCATTTGACAACTATTAGTATTCAAAAGAAAATGTCAATACCAAGTAAGTAAATACATGTATAAATAGATAGTTTTATAAAAATCGATTGTTAAATGTATGTACTAGAATAAAATAATTGAGATTAATTCACTATAAATTATACTTTCTTTTTTTTCTGTTTGTGCTATCGTTCGTACGTACATAGATATGTATGCTCGTTTGATTTGATTGTTTTTTTCTTTGTTATTATTGCGATTGCATGCTGGTACATCCATTAAGTCTATTCCATATTTTAAAGACAATCGTACTATCTCAATTATCTATTCTTTCGGAATGCTTAAGACATACGCATCTTCTCGTTATACTCGTTATTATTCCTTGGAGAATCGAATAGACTGCATTTGCCCATTTTCGTTGTTGTCACTTATATTTCTCCTATTCGCGTGTTTCTCAATGATGTCAGTTATTTATTTTACACACATATGATATAGAGATTAATATTCATCCAAGGTCAAATCGGTTTTCGAGCATCTGATAAATATTTTTCTTATTCAATATAAAAAAAATGTTAAAAAAAATAAAACTTAGAGATGAAGTCTTTTCCCCTCGTTTTTTTTTTAATAAAGAAAAAAGCAACATGCATGAGCAACAAAAATAATGAGATTAGAGGCTTGTAGTCGAGCTGAGAAAAGAAGTCATGGTGGATAAGAATAAGACTATAAGACTCATATGAAATGCTTATCATCGAAAGAAAATATACGATTAGTACCAAAACAAGAATAGAACGGAAAAAAAGACAACCTTCAAGTTCAGTATATTATCCTAGTGTATGTTTTGTTTTTCATTGAACAAATATTATTATCAATTGAAAAATAAAATCAAGCTGGAAAACTTCTTATATATCGATTTATTCATTGACACATGTATATATCACTCAATGTTCTATATACATGTCTACATCATTGAGTTGACAGATCAACTTTATATTGTCTACAATAGATCTATCAACACATCTTATCTTCCATTAGATTGCATTTGTTTCTTTATATCATTTATGCCTGTCGATGAATAATAATAAAAATTTTATCGTATTAGATGTTCATCGTTTAGAGAAACAAGGAATAGAATATAAAATTATAAAGAACTTTACGCATAATTAGTTATTATCAATTCGAATAGATTTTATTATACTAATTCTTCTTTCCCGGTTATTCTCTTATATATCTATTCGATAATCCATCATTTTTTGCTTATTCATATTCGTTAACGACACGCTTATATGTAGAAATGAGTGCACTTATTTAGTCAGAAAAAAAATGACGAGTTTAATTTGAAATTACATTATATAGAATAAGAACATTTTTTGATGGACATGAATGTACGAAGAAAAGAAGAAGAAGAAGAAAAAAAGATTCTTGTTTTGTTTTGTAAGGAAGTAACATTATTATTAACTAAGAAAATTGATCTAGAATAAGAAATGTTTTTTTAAAAGAATATTATTTTAATCTATCATCATCTTTTCTTTTTAACGGATAGAGTCTTGTAATAATGAGTTGTTAGTAGTTAGATAAGAATATATCAATTCATTTGTTCAGATCATAAGAAGAAGAAACAAGAAAGAGGGGAGGAAGAGATGGGAAAAAGGAGAGGAAGATGAAAGATTTCAAAGATAACATTAACGCACGCACATCTATTTAAAGGTATACGATTAAGAATGGATTGCATGCATATATAATCTTAGCTATGGTGTTTAACTAGAAAATTTCTTTTAGAAGAAAAAAAGTCATTCACCTATCGTTTTTTCTTTTCTTGTTTCTTTTCATTTGTCTTTTTTTAACTATTTTTCTCTGATGGCATTAAGTATACTTTATTCTTTATTTTCTAATTAAAAGAAATATCTTATATGACACTATTAAGAAAGAAGAAGAAGAAAAAATTATGAAGTTTTTTATTATTATTATAAATCTTCAATAAAAGATACTTTTTTCTTCTCTCATAAGAGACAATAGTGTAATCTTTATTTTTTGTTTTGGTAATAGAAAAACAAATGATTCGTATCTTTTTTTTCTCTTCTTATTATTAATCTATCTATCTATATTATTTTATTTCTTTTAAAGATATGCCTTTAATAATAAAAGCAACGACAATCTCAATATGTTTGTTAATTTAAATCGAATACTTTCGAATATACATGACGACAGGGAACAAAGATGAGTTAGTCGATGTTTTGAGCGGTTTCGCACCGCCTTCGACTCTTTCATTATTTGATTCGAAGACCCTCACACTCTATACGTCCATTATAATAATACTCAAAGTTTATCCGGTGCTTGTATTTATATTGGGGTCATTTGGAAATTTACTCTCATTTTGTGTTTTATTACGTTCAGCAATGCGACGATATTCAACATTTTGTTATTTAGCTTGTCTTGCTCTTGTTGATCTTGGAGTTATAATAACATTTTGTGTCAATTTTATATCTTTATATCATTTTCATTATGATATACAAGATGAATCATTTCCATGTAAATTATTTGCATTTAGCACTTATTTTCTTCCACAATATTCATCATGGATATTAGTTGCTGTTAGTATTGATCGGGTTATATCAGCAAAATATCTTCGTTTAGCTAAAACTTGGTCAAAACCGCGACATTCTGTATTTGTAACATTAATACTTGGTTTATTTCTTGCTGTACTTAATAGTCATTTTTTTCTTTATGACAATAATTCAATTAAACAACGAAATCAACAACAAACAGAAACTCGAAATCAACAACAACGAATTTTAAATAATAATAGTATAATAGAAAGATATTTATCAAATGAATCATTTACACATCAACCAAGTTCATTTTTAATAATGAATAATTTTTCAAATGCCGAAGGAATAGGAGGAAGTGGCGTAGCTGTAACAGTAGGAACTGGAAGCGGAGGGACAGGAAATGATTCATCATTATCTTACGAAGCATTTACATCAGTTCCATCACAAACGGTTAATCAAGAGACAACTTTACAAGGACAATATGATAATATATTAACAAATATAAAACAAGATTCAATACCATTTTTTGATGTTAATGTTATTCAATGTTCACTTGAAAATTCTATTAAACATGGAAATTTATATGTTTATTGGGTTTGGATTGATCTTGCAATGAATGTTTTTATACCATTTACAGGTAAAAATAAAATTAATTATAGATTTCTTATTTTCTTTTTTGTTTCTTCTAGCAATGATTGCTTGTACAGTATTAATTATTTTAACACTTGTACGTTCATCATCTCGTGCTGGTTCAACATCAGCACGTCGTTCACGTCGTCGTCGTAATATATCTGTGATGTTAATCACTGTCAATCTTGTTTTTATTAGTTTAACAGCACCTATAGTTATATTTTTAAGTGTTTATGAATATGTTAAAGATGATGCCAATCTCTATCGACAAACAATATTAGTTTTAATTAAAATTTTTTGTATTATTCTAATGAATCTTAATCATTCAATTAATATTGTTATTTATTCAATTACAGCAAAAGAATTTCGTTCTGAAATGGCAAATTTTTTACAAGCACTATTATATTGTATTATTGGCAAACCATTAAATCCAGCTGATCTACCATATATGCATGATGATGGTACATTATTATCACGTTTAAGACATTTAAGACGAAATTTATTTAAATGTTGTCAAATAAAAATGCGTTCACATTCTCCAAATACAACTGATACAAGTGGTTTACAACATACAACAACAGCAGCTGGAGGAACAAGTCAATCTCGTTCATCAAATAGTAATAAAAGAAGTAAACGTCAACGTTCAGAACGAAATGGTAAACAAAAATATTCAATGACATATAATAGTGAAACATCAACAAATAAAAATAATAGTCGTCGTCTTATTGTACAATTACAAGCTGATCCAATATCATCTGTTTATGAACGTGAAGATGTATCATTTCATGGTTTATCTATATCAACTGAAGATTAAAAAAAATTAGTTGTCATCGAATATTTCATGTCTTTGTACAGTTTTATTTTTTTTTGTGTTAATTATATTTGTTATTATTATGATTTTCTCGTTTGGTTCTGTATGCTATAAACGCCTTTTTTTCTTTGCTTTTCTTTATTTTATTTTTTATCCCCAACTTATTCAATCCTCTCCATAAACATGCACAAATAACAAATAATATGACAACGAGAAGTGAATACAAAACAATAATTGGTATTACTGATATTAGACTCTGCACATACTAATTGACAATAGTAAAATAGAGAACCAATTAGTGTAATGTGAGAAAAACATAAAATAGATAATATTAATAGAAATCACGCGATGTTTTAGAATTTATTTCTATACAAAACAAAATCGTTGTTTTATTTTTACTTTATGAGATATAAATTAATATCTAGAACACAATTTGATATACTATTTTGAAAGATTTCTAATTGCTTTCATTTTTTGAAATTATTTCAATGGGATCAAAACTATTATTAATCTTGATTTGACATTTCTATTTTAATTTTATATCAACATTTGATGAATGAAATTTAATTAGATTTTTTCACAAAAAATATCAAATTTATTTCTATTAATATACTAAAGTTCGAACAAGTTTACACAAGGGAAAAAGGGCGTAGTTATAAGTAATCGGTTATCAGTCGGGCGTGTCAAAACAATAATTTATTGATGATGAGTCAATCATACTATGTATATGTAGAAGAACATTTTCATACGTATGGCTACACGTGCACATAAATATATGTTACTTAGCATTATTAAAGAAAATAAGCAATGAATAGTGAAAAACATCTCGGAACTAATAATTGGTGGATAAATAAATCAAAATTTATATCAAAATATGTTCTTTCATATTGTTTTTATATTCATATTTTATTATTAATCCCATTAGCTATTATTCAATTGCGTTTTAGTACAGTTTATGATGATCGTTGTACAATTGATGATCGTATTATTCTTTATTTAATGGCTATTGGAATTACTCAAGTAATTTATTCATTTAATGGAATTCTTCTTATACTATTCTCTTTTTTATATAATAAATATTATTTTATTCCTTATATTCTTGTAATATGTTTTGCAATACAACAAATATTATTTTTATCTGTAATTATTTGGTTTATTATTGGAAATTATTTAGTATTTAGTATTCAAAATACAGTTCAATATACAAATTCTTATATTCCTGGTACTTATTGTGATTATACATTATATCATATAGCATATTGGACAATTATTGTTTATTATATATTAATTGTATTATTTTCAATTATTTTATTATTGACAAATATGCAATGGTTTCTAAAACAATATAAAAAATGTAAAAATTATTATACAAGAAAAGAAAGTGAACAATCGATTCAGATTTAATCAAATATCTGTGTTTCATCAGATTTAAATCAAGTTTTTATATAGTCATAAATATTCAATTGTAAATAATAAAAAAATATGCTCAGCCAATCTTTTTTTTTCTATTTTATTAAATAAATGATAATACGAGATAAAAAGAAAACAGATATTATTTGTGTATCAGTATAAATGTAATCTAAATTTACATAACAAAGAAAGAAGAAAACGTATGTAAATTGACCACAAGTGGTAAATGACATTTATTTAGTGCATCTTGTGAACAGTCGAATAATTTTATTTAAAGTTTGTCGTGTGTGCTTCGTTTCTCTTATACTCACACAATCCGGTCACTGCACAGGAACACACACACACACATAGACGTCGTCGTCGTCATTGTTGAGCTCAATGTAAACAGACAAACGAAGTTGATCTATGTCGAAGTAAAAAACGAATGAATCTTTTCTTTCAATCATTAACAAGAACAAGAAAAACAATATGAAGTTTTTATTCATTATTCAATTGATAATAATCTACTGGAAAAAATTTGCTCGTAAAATTATATCCGTTTTTTTATTTCTAATTTTTCTTTTATTAAATAGAAAATTCTGATTTACGTGTTGTTTGTTATTATACAAATTGGTCATTATATCGTGAAGCAATGCCAACACTTTATCCAGATCATATTGATCCATTTTTATGTACACATATACATTATGCTTTTGCAGATATTAATCCATTAACATTAACAATAACACATACGGAAGAACATGATGTTCATTGGACAGATAGAATAGGAATGGTATCAATACAAAAAAATAAATTTTTATTTCAATAATATTCTAAATTTTTTAGCCACTTTATCTTCGTACATATGGTTTAAAACGACGAAATCCTAGTTTAAAAATCATTTTATCCGTTGGTGGATGGACACAACGTAGTAAAGGTTTCAATGCAGTTTTAAGAAGTGATAATACTCGGTAAGAATATTTAATTCAAATTCAACTAATGATTTGTATAGTTAACACCTAACTTCATCAGATATCTATAGAAATGAATTTTTTTTATAATACTATTAAATTAAACCAAAACATACATGAACCCTTCAACTTTTTCTTATCTTAGTATAAGAGGATCTTCTTCGAAGGATTATAAACATATCATTATATTCATCTAATTCAAATTCTCATTAAACTTATAATAAGTCTCAGTTGAAAGAAGGAATTATTTTCTATCAATGAATGTTTTAGTGCAAAATTTATCAATCAAACAATGGCTTTTCTTCAAGAATGGCAATTTGATGGATTAGATCTTGTAAATTATTTTTTAATTTATTTTATTAAAATAGAATATATTTTTAAGGATTGGGAATTTCCTGGCTCACGTGATCGTGAAGCATCAATAGATAGTAAACTTAAGTATAATATATTTGTTCGAGAACTACGACAAGCATTTGAAGATGAAGCAATTCGAACAAATAAAACAAATCGATTATTATTAACAGCAGCTGTAGCTGCGGATCCAAAAATAATTGATCAAGGTTATATTGTTCCAGAATTTTGCAAGTAAAATTTTCATTATTTCAAAAAAAATGAATTCATTTTTATCCTCTAAAAATATATAGTTCATTAGATTATATTAGTGTTATGGCATATGATTATCATGGTAAGTTTATTGAATTATTACGATTAAAAGATAAGAAGTTTGTTACTTTAGGAAAATGGGATCAAGTAACAGGTATTAATAGTCCATTGTATAGAAGTCATAATGAATTAGATGATCATGAAGATTGGAAAAATACAGTAAGAAAAGAAATTTTCTAATTTTTTTCAAAAAGAAAGAATTTTTTATTTAGAATTCATCGATTTATTATTGGATAAATCAAGGATGTTCACCAGCAAATATAAATTTAGGTTTAGCTTTATATGGACGATCATTTACATTAGCCAATAATCATAATACATCAATTGGTGCATCGATTATTGAAGGTGGTGGAGAAGGTATTTTCTTTTCTAAAGACTTTTACATTGATTTTTTTTATATCGATTTTAGCTGGTCCATATACGAAACAAGAAGGAGTTTTAGCTTATTTTGAAGTAAAGAATTTAAATTGTATATTTAGAAAAGAATTTTGTTTTTATAGATTTGTCAAAAATTAAGTGTACATAATTGGACAACTGAATGGGATTTAGATTCTCACTCACAATATGCATATTCAGATACGGGACAATGGGTTGGATACGATTCACTTAAAAGTGTAACACTTAAAGTAACGATAAATAACAATAAAATTTTATACGTTAATTATTGATTTTTATTCTAGGTTATTTGGGCCAAATCAATGGGCCTTGGTGGAGCGATGTTGTAAGTATTTATGTGATACTAAACAAGTGTGACGCGATGACCAAAAATGAGTGTCGAGATATCCAACTGAGAAAAAGATTTCTGAAATAGATATTTTATTTTAATCAAAATCTGTTTCCATCAACATAACACGATGACTTGAACTTTTTTAATTAAAGTTTTTCTGTGGAATTGTTTGGTATAAATAGAATTGAGTGAAAGTCAGGTTGAAAGGTATATATCCTTATGATCTCCGTTAATTGAAGTTAATCTAACTTTATACCAAAACTGTTTCGACATATGAGATATGTTAGTGACATAGATTAGATATCACATCATCTGGTGATGAAATTTGTGTTAAAAGTTGACAGGTATGTGTTAACGAAACTTAGAAAGTTTTTGTTACACTTTAGACTACACTTTGCTCAATGATATCAGACAACTCTGAAACTCATGGTTAAAAACTCTTGAGATATGATTCATATAATGTATAAATAGTTGAAGAGAAGACTAATGACTAGACTTCAAGGTTAAAATCTTTACTCTTTCTTCATCGCAAATATAACATTCAATCTAATAATTTCTTTTTAATAGATGGACATTAGATTATGATGATTACACAGGTTTATTCTGTAATCGTGGTGAATTTCCATTGACTCGTCGTGTACATGAAACAATGTTTGATTCAATAATACCAACATCTACATTATCTGTAACAAATGAATCTCTAACAACAACGACAATATCTACTCGTACATCGAAATCTTTACTATTGCCATCTTTAAATCGAACAAATAAATCAACTGTCGGTTATATTATACCATCATTACATCGAACAAAAATCATTTTAGATCCACGTATGGTCAATCATGCCGGTGACCATTTTAAATCAAAACTCTTATTATTATTATTATTATTATTATTTCTATCGGTGTTTCATTTCTTAAATTAACAAATAAACATTTGATTTTCTCCTATTAAATATCCTTATGCAAAATACATTTATAATTATCGTTTGTTTGTTTTTTTATGAACAAAAAAGAAAGAAAACGAACAAAAAAAAAGTGATTTTCCTCCAACTCCTTAAATAACAAAAACAAACATATTTTTTAGAAAGGACAGAAAAAAAAGAAAGAAAGAGAATATTAATAATAAATATCAAAGGAAACATCAAACATTTTGTTTAAATCTCATTTCTTCTTTCGTTTAAAATCATCAATCTATTATCACTCATTAAATGATCTTTTTTTTTTTGTTTAAATATGTACGAGATTTTAAGAAAAGAAAAACAAACAAATAAGTAAAAGAGAGATAATATCACTGGAGTAGGAGCTGTTATTTAGTCTATTTTAATTGAATAGATTTTTCGAACGAATGCTTGTGTTCCTATATAACCAAATGTTCCACACATTATACCAAGACCAAGAGAAAATAAAGCCATGTAACCAAAATAGAATACCGTTTGAAACATGCCATACATTCTAGATTAGAAATTTATGTATTTGATTTGAGATTAGAAATGTTTTTTATTTACTTGGTTTTAAAGAAGAAATAATACATCGCATATAAATAAACATAGAATGCTGATGATGCGCCAGATAAAAAGCTAGTCCATTGCCTAAAAATGATTGAAAAAATTTCAATAGATAAAGTAAATAGAATGATTGTTTAATTAAAGCGTCTGCGACTAGTCCGAGTGTACAGGAAGCTTAAGTGATTAACGAGGGAACCTTTTCAGGCCCATCAGTACTATGTAGTGCCCTAAGAAAAACCCTAAAAGGATTTGAGTTGGTATTCATTCCTTCAAAGGTTATGGCGATTTTACTAAATTTTCGACCTGGTCCT